GCCCCCTCTAACATAAAAAAATACTCCTTTCTAAGGAGAGGCCTATGTCCAGCAGTGGACTATTAAAGACTGTCGATGATGATGATGAAATTGTACAATTGCATTCTTCCTTTCATATTAAGCAGAGATACATATCTATCAATGCTACGTACTAGGCTGAACGTTATCCAAAATAAAAATTGTGTAAAAGTAATTTAAAAAAACTAAACGTTGTAGGAAACTTAAGATTAATGATAATGTGTATGACGTTTCATGTCAATCACTTAAAGTTAAAATAAGTTGTGTCTTGCCCTTAAAAAAATTGTAGTCATCGGAGTGGGAATTCTTTCCCTCGGTAACATAATTACCGTCATAGTAAGGAGCGTGAGTGCGTGGAACTCCGCCAGTCCCTTCTGCGAGCAAATTATGCTTGCAAAGGAGATGGAGGAGTGGGACCGGGAGAGGTTTAGAACCTGGCCCGCCAGGCCCAGGAACGGCCAGGTACCGCAGACGATTCAGGCGCCTGAGGTCGCAGAACGTGCTTCGTCCTCCATAAGCTCAGGCCGGGGGGTGACGGGTGTCACCCTAGCAGAGGCATGCCGGGGTGGCGGCCAGACACAGACGAGGAGCGCAAAGGAGACATTGAGGTTCCCAGACAGGAGGGGGTCCGGGGACCCGTCTGCTCGTTTGCCCCCTTATACCATTAAACAACCCTTCGACCACATTCACATAACAGCCAGGCCGGTGAGAAACAAACGCTGAAATTCCTGTTACCGACCGGACCGGTGGAAAACAACTTACTTATTTATTAATTTTATTAATAAAGGCATATTTACAAAATAAACACAAACATTCATACACATAATTGTTTTAAACTAAGTACACGTGCTAATTACAAATATGCACAGCACAAATATGCACACAAATTTCCTTAGAAAGGAGACCTCTTATACCACGTTGGCCAGACGGGTTGGTATAAGGTTTCTTTCAAGTTTTCTTCTCTTTAAAGTGCTTTTGTCCTGCGTAGTTTACTCCCTTAGTCGGCTGTAACGACACCCACGGAATGAATAGGGACACACATGGACAATTTCACAAATTTTACAATTTAAATGCATGCAATGCCATGCCAATCTATGCACCAGTTATTTTTTAAATAGAAACAAACAAACACCTACCATTATGTATACTATATTATTAATAGTACCAAGTCTACCAATAATTCATGCGCATGCGCAAATAAAAGGTATTGTAATTTAAAACGCCATCTTTAGTTAGTGCCTGCTCGTTGATGACGGTATATACAGATAGCATATTCCTCGTAATAAGGATTTAAAAAGAGTATTAAATATTAATTCCATCTATTTCAAATTTATAAATTAAAATTTCATTAATTAAAAAAATAATAATATATATATTGACGGGCCTGTTGGTCTAGTGGTTAGTGACCCTGACTGCTAAACCGGAGGTCGTGGGTTCGATTCCCACCCAGGACACATATTGTGTGATGAGCACGGTCATTTGTTCTGTGTCTGGGTATAATTTGTCTATAATCTATATCTATATAATCTGTATCTATTTAAAAAAATATAAGTATGATTAGCAGCAGTCTGGTTACTACAGTACAGGCTCTGCCTGGTTTGGGATCTGTATTGCGTGTGAGATGTATATTATATTATTATATCATCTTTGCATCGAATCAATATATTTCAAAGGCAATGTATTTTGAAAGTAAATATTTTCTAAATAGAACGAGCTCATTTACACCTTTAAAATTATAATTCGATATTAACCCCATCTATGTTGAAAAAAAAAGTATTCTCTTTGTTTTAGTTAGAAGTCATTAATAATTAGTTTCAAATTTCGAACAAACAAATTTCAATTTTAACTCTTATTTAATAGCTATGTGGCATAAACATATTTCAAAGGAAGTGGGTTCTGAAACAAAATATTTATTTACAGAGAACCAGTACAGTTTGTCACGTTTACAATCATTGCTCCCCTCCTTCGTGATGCTACATAGCTTCTTAAAGTAAATACTCTATCGAATTTCAAAAAAATAATTTCAAATCCGACTGATACTTTCAGAGTTCATTAGTGCGTTAAAAAAAATAATAACTCTATATTATATGAGCATAGACAGTACAAACTTTCAAATTATAAACATATAATTCAAAAAAATAATAAGCGAAAATTGTTTGCTAAATTATCTGCTGTCTGTACTTTACAGTCATTTATTATCTGTATTTGAGTTTGTTTGTACGATTGCATACCGCTTATCAAACATTGGCTATTGCATCTTCATTTACAACAACATTGTAAAACATACTCTATAGTACTTAAACAGGGTCAATATTCGATTGTATATGATTTATTTCTTCATTCACCCTCTTAGCGAAACGATTTAGTGGACACGCCCCTGGTTTTAATAGCAGTTGTCATAAATAATACCCATTACTGTCACAGTAAAGAGTAGAGAAAGAAGGTTTATTATAAACTAGAAATTATAAAAGGGAATATTATAAGTCATTTTTTTTAAGTTGAACCGACTTCAAACAATACTAACAACAAAGAGCACTAAAAATCTAGCAGAAACCGCGGTTAATTTGCTGTCATTTTTTGAAGAGTTCCCTTGTCTGTCTCCGAAACTCATCATCAGATCTATACGAAATTTAAATTTGACCATTTCGGAATTAACCCCTTTCGAACAAAAAAATAATTTGGCAAATCCGTCTATTAATGACGAAGTTATGTCCGAACATACATACATAAATATTCATATAAAAATCCGAATTGATAACCTCCTCCTTTCTGAAATCGGTTAAAAATACTGTAACCCAAATATTTATTTGTTTTATAAAACATATTATATTTGTTTAGCGTACGAAATAAAAATTCAGCTTTAAACACAAAACTTATTATTGCAGTTATTACAAAGGTTTCAATAGGGTTAACTACCAGAAATTATATGCAGACGTGTTGTCACTGATATATTGTTACTACTCTTCCATAAATATTCCAACTCAAATAAAACAGATAATTTGTAGCAACACAATTTATGTAGAAATTATTCGAATACGCAGTGAATAGTTCGCTCAAACCATGTTACGATCGTGAGCGAACAATAAACACAATACAATATTACAAACACATTACGTAATTGACATTCTGTTTATTATTCTGTACGCCTACTTTGTGAGTACTTAGTAATATCTATATTATCACAAAATACATTTTCTAGGGATCTTTTGCTCGGCAAGATGGTTATCACGGCTCGATATTAAGACATGGCAGGTTTATTTACTTCTAGATGTTATGGGTTTAATTCCCGCACCGTGAAAATAAGTACATATACATTAGTCTGATTGTTTTTGTGTAGATATAATAAAAATAAAATATTGAAAACCCATGTTAAGTAATCTTTTCGTTGATTTTCACCGAGTGACTGAAGTTATCGGAGCTCACAATCCCCTCTTCCTGATTCTGAGGGATTTGTACTGAAAAGGCAGCAACAAGGTAGTTACTTATAATCAGGTAATCCTGTCTGCTCGTTTGCTCCCCTATGCCATAAAAAGAAGGCTCTTTTTTGCTGTTGTTTGATTAAACGCGATAATCTGTACAAATAAATAAAATTGAAGTGTCTGTTTGAAATGTCATAATAATAGGTTTTTTTCATGCTCACACGGTTATTTGCACGATACCTATGCCCAAAAACCAGTTTTTTAACCAGCTATGCCTAAATGTATGCATGTTTGCATGTTTTTTTGTCTCTCTGTCTGTCTGTTTGTTCCGGGTAATCTTCTAAACGACAGAACCGATTTTGATAATATTTTACTACCAGGTAGCTGTCTATATAAGGAGTAACTTAAGTTCTTTTTCCGCTCAGAAAACTTTAATATTTTGCCCGGTCCGGGAATCGAACTCACTAATGCAGCGCTTTTCAAATTCAATTTTTTTTCAACGCGAATGCAGTCGCGGGGATCAGCTAGACTGAACATATAATTGAAATTGTAAAGAATACACGATGACCTTTAGAAGCACAGCAATGACCATAAACACAAATGAAACTGAAACTTCGACTGCACGTATGGCGTAGTGGTTTAAGCGGTCGCTTTCAACTACGCTAAGTGTTGTGGGTCCGATCCCCACATGGGACGACACTTTGTGTGATTTACAAATAATTGTTCTGAGTCTGGGTGTTCTTTGTGTCCGTTTCATGTATGTTTGTAAGGTCCACCGCGGCACAGGATATATTCCTGCTTATATGCGGGAGTTGTTTTTGGGATTCTAAAATAGAAAGGCCTTCTTAAAAAATAAAGCACTTAATTTTGTAAATTATTTTATTTATTATATTTTTAATACAGAATACAACAGTACACTACTTACATTGATAAGGCTTTGATACCGATATTGACATTAAATATCGACACATGTTGAGATTATTTTGATATCTTGAAGTGACCTTTAAAAGTTAAAGCCAAGTAATCCAAGGTCAAGATTAAGTTCAAGGTCATGTATTGTTTTTTATTTATTTATAAAGGTATATTATTATTTAAGTATTTTGTATCATCATGACCTTCACGGCACAATTTTTTGAAGAGTTACTTTGAGGATAAATTATACAGTTTACTTAGAAATATAATAAAATTTGATGTTATTGTCAAACCTTATTCAGGAACGGAGTAGGGTTTACAAAATCTTCTAATTCTCTCCTTAATAGAAATGTGAGAAGAAGAAAATTAGAAGAAGATTTGAGAAAAAAGTCAAGCTATCACAGGATCCACTCGAAGCCGTGATTAGCTCACACCGCGAATTCCAGTTGTTTCAATCATTATTTAAATTTAAGGCAATATATCAATATGATAGCTTCGATTGCGCGATGTAGAATTAGAATTTTTTACTTACTAGTTCGGCACATTTTTCATAGATGGCGCTATAAATATCAAAATTGTCAACGATTTTTTTTTAATTTTCATCTTTATTCTTTTTAAATAGTGTCATTTTCATGATAATTTTACAATTAATTAGTCGTCCTCGTCAGATTCTTCAACTGAGGTAACGTTATAACCCCATGCTTCGACATGGAATTTATAGGCTTGCGTGAAGTGTATCAGCGGGATTCGAAGCTAGAAACAATTTAAAATCAATATTAAGTTTTAATTTATTCATGATTGTACAGTATCAGTGAAGTTAAACAAATATCATTATTTGGCAAATTGGGAGAGAAATTGGAAAATTTGACTAACAATTTTTTTTATTAAATACTCTTTTAAGGAAACTTAATATGTAAATTAGTATGTCAATTACGTTAGATTAATATTTATGTAATTAATACGACTTAATGACGGGCCAAAAGAAAAGACCAACAGTCTTAAAATCACTATAACGATCCTGACTGCTAAGGAAGAGGTCGTGGGTTCGATTCCTGCCAAGGCAATTAATTCTGTGATGAGCACGATCATTTGATCTGTGTCTGAGAGTTATTTACCTATATGTATATTACATAACGCCATCTAGTTTCAAACTAAGCAGAGCTTGTACTATAAAAGCTAGATTGACTGATACGATATTCATATTCTTTGTAAATACATACATATTATACATTAAAAAACACCCAAACTCCGAAATAAATATTTGTAGATCACACAAACATTTGGTCCGACCCGGGCATCGAACCTGCGATCTCAACACAGCAGTCGCATACGCTACCTACTGCACCAACGAGGCATTCAAAGAAATTTAGAAATATACTCGTATAAGTGTGTTTATCAGCAATCTGGTTACCATAGTACTGGCTCTGCCTAGTTTGGGATCAGGCGGCAAGACAGATTATTACTATGACTTGATGATATTTAAACTTACGTCACAACGAGCCTTACCTTCACAGTTGGACTGTTCAGATCCCATATCTTCGGGTCGCCGCGGACAGCATACGGCATACCAATCTTAACACACGCTATCGCAGTTGTGTGCGGAGCATTGATCTGTGTGACAATATATAAACTGCTTTATCTCCTATAATACCTCTTTTATAGAATAGGAGTACCAGTAGAAGGGTCTGTTAGTCTAGTGGTTAGTGACCCTGACTGCTAAGCATGAGGTCGTGGGTTTCATTCCTACCCAGGACGAATATTTATTTATTTATTTAATTTTAAACTTAAGCACATATTGTACAAAGGCGGAATTAATGCCATGAGGCATTCTCTCCCAGTCAACCTTCAGCTGATGTAGAAATATGATGCGGTAGGTGCAAAATAAAATATGAAGTTTAACATAATTTAGGTCCAGAAACATACACAATATAAAAACACACATTGATAAATAAACCTACATAAATTTAATAAAATATATAAATACTCAGTCGGGTACTAGCGCTGTAACTGTTCCGCCAATTCACCCCGAAGAAGATCGCGCACTTTTCTCTTGAATGCAAGGCGATTTGTTGACATCGTGATTTCGGCAGGAAGGGCATTCCAGAGAAGAACTGACTGGACGTAGAAGGAGGATTTGATGAAGTTGGAGGTGTGAGGGCATAGAAGAAGTATATTGTTGGTTGATCGAAGATTTCGATCGTGATTTGAGCATAGGAAACGGAAGTGGGGTACGAGGTATTCAGGTAACGATGGAGAGTTGAGGAAGGAAAAGAGAGAAGTCAGTGCTCGTAAATTGCGGCGCTGACGAATTGGGAGCCATTGGAGCTGGGAACGTAAAGCAGACACGTGGTCATACTTGCGAAGATTGAAAACGAATCGAATGCAGTTATTGAGAAGGCGATCTAGTTTATTGAGAAGGTCTGCATTCAGGTCGAAATAACACACATCACCATAGTCGATCAAGGGAATAATTAAGGACTGCATAAGCGTAGCCTTAGTTTTAGCGGGAAAGAAGTTCTTCAATCGATATAAGGCACGGAGACATGTGGTGACTTTCTGGCCGACGTGTGTAACCTGTGCCCGCCAGTCAAATGTCGAGTCGATATATAACCCCAGGTTCTTTACCACTGCACTATTATACTATACCTTATAGTGCCACTATAAGGTAAAGTCACATTGTTGTAGACAACTGGTGGGATGACCGCCATATCCAACTTACTTATCATTTGTTTGCTCCCCTTTTTTTTTTTACGTGTGGAAATCCCCTCGGACCGTCACCCCGCCGGGGCTCTCTGTTCGGCGGGGCGGTGTGTCGGACTCGAACCGACTAAAACCACACGGTGTGCCCTCTTTGCGCTTTTGTTTTAGGGGGGTCCAGGTAGTTATCGCCTTCTGGACCCCTCCCAGCTCCGGCCCGCTCCTGGTGCGGGCCGGAGCTGGGAGGGGTCTCTCCGTCTCAAAATTTTTACCTCTCTTTAGGCGACGTCCGGCACACGCGGACGCCGCCCCCTCGCGGCTGGCCAAACTAATGCGGGGGGTCACTTCCCTTCGCGGCACCGTGCGACTAACGTGTGACTTCATGTGCTAACAATTTAAATATTGTTTTCTGTTTTTTCTGCGACTAGTTTTCGGCTTGCGGGCGGCTAAAGGTTGTGTATAGTGTTTTAAAGAAAGTCAGTAAGTTTTTATTGTTTTTAAACAGTAATATAGTGCTGAATTATTTTATTACGACTATTGGTGAGTAATTTATTTTCTTTCTAAAAGTGGGTAGGAGGTATCCTTTGTTTATATTGATTTTTCTCTGCGTGTTATTTATTTTTAAACCTGTTCCTTTTGAAATTGTTGTTTGGTGTGTCTTTGTTTGGCTATGTCGGTCGTTAGCGAGTTGCCGGACCCCGGCGGTACAAGTGAATTTCTAACACCAACCGGGAAAAGGACATTTATCGAAATGTCACCTACTGGTTTCTCGCCGAAAGACAGTAGCCGTAGGCGCGTTATTAATTCGGACTTAAGTAGTAATGTTTCGTCTCCTACTGGTCGTGATAACTGTGGGGAGTACAACTACTGTGACTTAGTATCACAGGCCACTGATTATTTAGCAAAAATTAATGAATTAGTTAATGATCAGGGATCTCGGATGAATGTAGGTAATAAAACGGCGATTATGGATATTACTCAACGAATTACCGGTATCGTATCTTTGTTAGCAATAAAATCCTCTAGCAACGAAACGAAGTTAGCGAATTTTGAGCGACAAATGGAGGGTATCGCAACTCAACAAACGAGTTTAACGTACGCGGACAAACTTAAGCTTCGATTACCACCTAAATCTGCTCCGTGCCCGGTACCTACTGAAGCGCGCGTTCCTAGGCCTTGTGTCATTGCCTATCCCACTACGGAACGCCTAGCGGACTATGCGACCTCGTCAGCAACAAAACAAGCTCTCATGAAGGCTATTAAACCGAGCGATGAGGGATTTCAAATTGTAGGCGTTAAAAAAACCTCTAAGGCAGGCGTCGTGTTACGTGTAGCTAACGAACGGCAGCTTAAGAAACTGGAATCTGTGGACGCCATTAAATCAGTAGGGTTGCGCTTAGAAAAACCGAAAGGCCGTAGGCCCCGTATAATTGTAAAAGACGTACCCGGTTCTATGGAAGATCGTGCCTTCCTAACAGCCTTATACCGTCAGAATATCAAGGACGAATTAAAATTAAGTGAGAACGATTTTATTAAGTCAGCCAAAATTGTTAGGCATCGTAAACTAGAAAATGGGCGTCAATGGATAGGCTTAGAATTAGAGGCAGCAGTTCGGAAACATCTAGCCAACACAAAAGATAAACTTTATATAGACTGGGCCACATGTAGATTCATAGACGATTTAGAAGTAGTTCGTTGCTTAAATTGTCAGCAATTCGGTCATGTACAAAAGTTTTGCACCATAAAAACCCCTACTTGTGCTAATTGCGCCGCCGCACACGAAACGCGAGCTTGTCCAGATAAAGACACACCAGATTTTAAGCCCACGTGCGCACAGTGTAAGCGGTTCAAAAAACCATCTGACCATCGATGCGGCTCATACGACTGTGCCACATACAAATTAAAACTGGAACAGCTAATATTAAATACCAATTACTGAATAGTTTAACTTAGTTTAAAAAAAAAAAAAAAAAAAAAAAAAAAGTTTAAAGAGTAACTTACTAAGTAATGAATAATATTTCGATAGGCCAGTTAAATCTTCATAACGATAAAATAGCTACATCAGAATTAGACCGTTTAATTTTAGAACAAAAGTTAGACATTGTCCTTTTACAAGAACAATATCAGAGCGCTCACTTGCGTCGTAATGTAGTACAGCTTGACTGCCGTTCGCAGGCTGGGATATATGTTGCAAGTTCTAATTTTACGGTAACATCTTTGCGTAATCTTATGACGTCACACTGCGCCGTTGCTGAGATCTCATCCTCTACCTGTAAGGTTTACGTAGTGAGCTGCTATTTTCAATATTCACATCCTATTGATCCTCACTTACATCACTTACGTTACGTCTTGCAGTTCCTCGTGGGACATAAAATTATCATTGGCGCTGATGTCAATGCGTCATCTTCATTATGGTATGGCAAGTTGCGTTCAACCGACACGGTTCGACGTTGTGCGGTTGAAGATTTCATTGCGGAAATGAATCTTATTATTCACAATACCCCCGATGCACCACCAACTTTTTGCAACCCAATGGGTGAGTCTTCTATTGACGTGACGCTTACGCGCGGCGACGTCTCGATATCCGGATGGCGTGTCCTTCCGGACGCATCCTGTAGTGATCACCGCTTGATCGTGTACGAATTCATACCAAGGGTTGCACAGGATCCACAAAAGGCTCCCTATAATTTTAGATATAAAACTAAAGGTGCGAACTGGGCTTTGTTTGGTTCACTCTTTGCAACTCATACCAAAGACTTCAGTCGCAGTAGTTTATCAGCTGAGGAAAGCGCAGAAATACTATCAGAAACTTTTACATACTGCGCTGATGTAACTATTGGTCGCGGATCTATCACTAACACTCGTAGATGTGATTGGTGGAATGATAGATTAGCCGAACTACGTAGAAGCTACCGGAAAGCTCGTAGAAAATTAAACACTATTAAAAAACATAACGTAACAGGAGATTTGTACAACAATGCTCTCATTGCTCTTAGAGTTGCCAGGTCCCACTACAGAGCTGCTGTGGAAAAATCCAAGGGAAACTTAATTCAGAAACTTGTTGATAAACTCGATAGAGAGGGCCCGTGGTCACCTTTGTATCACGAATTTAAAGCAAATAGATCAATCGACCTTGCATACATACAGAACATCAAAATTAATAACAGATATACCACAGGAGTAGAACAAACAGCAGAATATCTTTTAGACTCACTCGTACCTGACGATCGACCGGAGAACGACACTGATCATCACCGACAGATCAGGCAGTGGGCCATCGAACCACCACTATCTCCAATGTCTGATTTACCATCTTCAGACGAATTTCTCGGTATCATTAGATCCTTGCCGCTAAACAAGGCTTCGGGCGATGATAAAATATCTAACAAAATGATAAAAGAAGCTTGTAAACTTTCGGGTGACACGATTTTCACTGTCTTTAAACGTTGCATTGCTGAAGGAATATTTCCTCGTATATGGCGGTGCGGTAATATTCGTATAATACCAAAAAGTGGCGACAAGCCACCGGATGATCCTAAATCCTACCGACCAATCACATTGTTACCATCGTTGGGAAAGCTTTTAGAACGTCTTGTAGTGCCCCGGCTTCTGCCAGGTGGAGTCAAATTTCATGATAGACAATTTGGATTTACGTTGGGTAAATCGACAACTGACGCTGTTATATCGGTTAGAAAGTTTGTCACAGGGTCAAAATTTCAATACGTGCTGGCTATTTTCTTAGATATATCTGGCGCCTTCGACAACGCATGGTGGCCCATGCTGTTGCTGAAATTAAAATCACGGGGGTGCTTTAAAAATATTTATTCCCTTATCTCTTCGTACTTTTCACAAGGTACAACTAAACTAAGACTTGGTCATCATTCTGTGTCGAAGGCGCTTACAATGGGATGTCCTCAGGGATCGGTGCTAGGTCCATACTTGTGGAATATCGGCTTCGACGATTTTCTTGCGATACCAATACCATCCGGATGTACTCTGAACGCGTATGCTGATGACGGCTTATTACTGGTGGAATCTGATACTAGGGCGGGGCTTGAGAGATTAGCCAATAGATGTTTGAACTTGATATCTCAATGGGGTGAACGTAATCGCTTAACTTTTGCACCCAACAAAACCTTCCAGCTACTTTTAAAAGGTAACCTCAAATCACCGCCGAGCATTAGATTTAACAATGTTACTGTAAAAAATAAAACCACAGTGTGTTATCTAGGATTAGTTTTAGAAAGAAACTTTTCATTTATCGAACATATTAAAATAGTTAATGAAAAGTCTAAAAAGAGTTTCTGTGCATTGACAAGGATATCAACTGCGACATGGGGTCTATCATTTAATACATTAAAGATCATATACGGAGCTACTTATTTAGGTTCTATGTGCTATGGTGCACCTGTATGGGCCGATAGGGCGACCGTAGGCGCTGTCCGTCGCAAACTGTTACAAGGCCAACGACTTGCACTGATATTCTTGTGTAAGGCATATAGGACGGTTAGCACTGAGGCTTTGCCGGTGTTGGCGGGTGTGCTTCCGGTCGATCTCGAGGTGCAGAGACGTGCAGCCATGTACTATTCAAGACAACAAAACATGGAATGCGATTTTTTGGGCGCGCGGGATCGCGGTAAAATTACAAGATTGCTTCAACAGCAGCCCGATGTCTATAACGACCTCATAGACGAATGGCAACAACGCTGGGATGAATCATCCAAGGGGCGCCATCTTTACCAATTCTTTCCATCTGTTCGCGAACGGTTGTCGAGGATATGGCTTGAGGTGGATCACTGTGTCGCTCAATTTCTTACGGGTCATGGTAACTTTAAGAGCAAGCTTTATTCATTTAAATTAGTCGAGTCACCATTGTGTCAATGCTCAACACCTAACTCTCACTATGAACAGTCTGCTCATCATATCCTCTGGGAATGTAGTCTTTGGTATAATGAACGTAATATAATGCTGAATAGCTTGCAGGTGACATCTGGGGCGGTATACTATGGGGATCTTGTGTCAACTAGGGTGAATTTCCGTGCGTTTAGGCGATTCTGCCATACATATTATAGAAATCAAACATAGCTTACGTAGGACCCGTAATATTTGTGGCCGTGGTGCTTCCCTGTTTAAAAGGGTGTATGCCCATTTTTACTTCATTTTGTCTCCCGCTTTGCTAAGGAGGGAAGTGGATTTACTGTATTTCCAACTCCTCCAATTTTCTTCTGATTAATTTCGTTGCGGGTTCCAAGACAGTTTAATTTCTTCCTGGGACTTCCCGAGTGTCATAACTCGGTGTGTTCGTGGGTCACTGCTGTGGATCCTGGTGTACAGGAGTTACAGTGGTGGGCGTGTGGGTGGGATTAGTCCCAGCTTAAAAAATGCGGGTGGAGGGGAAACCCACCCCGTCCACCCGCGGCCACACTCAGGGCGGCATGAGGCGGTGATAGGCGCGCCTCCGCCGCCCGGTTCGCCGGCGGCGGATCGGGTCCGAGTGGAGGTCGTCCTCCCGGGCCTTCTCCGCCGCCTCCTTCTGCGAGATTACTTCCTATTTGTTTGCTCCCCACGACGATCACTTTCCATTTGGTTGGATTTACCGACAAACCAAACCTCGTTGACCAGCTCTTTATAAAGTCCAAGTCCTTGTTGACTTTGTCGATAGCGTATGTTATGTCCTCAACCCTTGCCTGTGTGTACACTTTTAAGTCATCAGCGTACAGGTGATACGTACACTGAAGGTGCTGGGTTATGAGATTAGTCAATATTGAGAATATTAAGGGAGATAATATACCGACTTGAGGGACGCCAGTGAGAAGATCACACCAACTCGACGACAAGTCATCAATATGAACACTCTGTTGTCGTCCCTGAAGATAGGAGGAGAACCATTACAGAGCTTCTGAGGAGATCATAAGATAGGAAAGGATGGTAAGTAGAACGTCATGACTAACGGTATTAAAGGCATCAGATTGTAAAGGACTAAGAAGATTCCGCTGATTTACAAACTGTGCGAGCTGCTTATGTACACAGGCCTCTAGCACTTTAGAAAGAAAGGGAAGTATAGAAATTGGTCGAAAGTGTTCGGGGAGAGAAGGGTTGGTTTTTTTGGGTAAAGGAATGATGAAGGCCTTACGCCAGAGTGAGGGAAATGTTGCAGAGTCGAGTGAAAAGTTTATGATATGAGATATTACTGGAAGAATGTGATCCAGGATGGTAACAATCATGCGACGGCTGATATCGTCACCGTTACCGTCAAATATTATGTGATGAGCACGGTCATTTGTTCTGTGTCTGGGTGTAATTTATCTATAATATGTATGTATTTAAAAATATATAAGTACGTTTTTCAACAGTCTGGTTACCATAACATAAGATTTAACTAGTTTGGGATCAGACGGCCGTGTGATGAGAGAGAGGCCGTGACGTGTGAGATGCGTGAGGTATATATATTATATACAGTTTTAACTCAAAAAATACAAGTAAGTTGCCCCTTAATTGCCCACCACCCCAGAACTAGAGGGACGTTCCTTGGCTATCCTCACTCACTCGGAGCGAGCAAAGCAACGAAGGAGCTAAGCACCGGTTTTCTGTTAGGCCGTGGTGTCACTCCGGTCGAGCTGGATTACGGTTATCTAGTTTTCTGTGTCGACGGCACGGTTTGTCTGTTACAAATCTTTCATAAATCAATTCATAGGTCGCTGGTTCAAATAAACTCGAAGGACCAATGTTTGGGTACAATTGGAGGGTTTAAAAAGATGTAATTTATGGTATATTTTTTTACTGTTATATAAACTACTCAAAAAAGTTTACGAAACACTATGATCACAAAATATGTCAAATGTATTAAATGTTACTAAAGTTAATAACAAATGTTTGTTAATGTTTTGTTATGTTATTGTTATGAAGGTCCGGTTACGACGGTTCCGAAAACTACACTAATTTATTTTATAGAATTAAGTAATTACCCATGTATAACGCGTCGCGGCCTGACTCACTGACTGAGTGGATGTACTGCTGACATCGAACACGATATTATCAAACAAAACCATCAGACAGGACTGCCTCACATATATCTTCACAACGATATTGTAATTATACAAGAACAATACCAGGTCGAAAAAGATGAACCCAAGGACCAAGTCCTGATATAAACTTAAAGAAGTCCCACCCAACTTCATCTCCCACGAATATTCCTGGTATGATACTTATTTTTATTCTGTTTTAAAACAAAGAGAACGTCATACCTCCAAATAATACGTCATACGAAATGACGTAGTAGGCTTCACTGAAAAGATCTCGTGGTAAAACTTGTAGAGGTCAGTAGCGGCATCCCCTCTATCGTAACATCTGAGGCCACCCATCCACCAGTGCCCCACCCACTTGCTCTGTCCACGTTCCACTATGCGTGACGTACGGGGCATTACAAATCCTGAAAAAAACATTACGTTTAATTAATAATACTATTAGTTCTTTTACAAGTTTAATAAAAGAAGGGTTTGTAATCCCGGCGACCGTATGAGTTCCAGAAGCCGTGGGAAAGTCATACTTCGGCATGAATGGGCCGGCTCGACTGGAATGAGACCCTGGCGAATAAGGCATACGGTCGGTAGAGAGAGTAAGAAGATTGTTTTATTCTTGCATCTCCCTCTGCTATAGTCACCAGTGCAGAGAGATAGAGATGAAAGACCAAAACAGTCTTCGTTTTCTGTCTACCAACCGTATGCTATTGGTAGACAGATATAAACAGAGCTTGTACTATGAAAGCTAATTGACTGATAGAAGAATTAAATACGCTTTATTTCGTAAATACACAAATATTATACATAGAAAACATCCAAACTACGAAACAACTATTTGCAGGGATACAAACATTTGATCCGACCTGGGAATCGAACCCAAGACCTCAGCACAGCAGTCAAATTATTACAAAAACTAAAATATTACACATGTCTTCAATATTTGTAGTTGGTATCCATTTTTAAAAATAGCACTTTACCAAAAGGATCATCCTGTGCAAAAGCTGAGACAACTTTGCCAGCAATTGCAGCTGTAATCCAGTTCACGTAGTCGTATAGGGCTATATGATGTGGTGGGTTGTGACGACTGCGTGACCTCAGAGGGTCCGGACACTGAGTGGTTCCTAGAACAAATGTAACAACAAATTGAATAAAAAGTTCGAAACTAGTCGAGCACCTCCGAAATACACACGGAAATAAAACTGTAGGTATATCTATTACTACTATGAATCACAAGACCAGTGACGGATTAAGAATACGGAGTGTCACTACTCCTATTCATCCCGTGGGTATCGTAAGAGCCGACTAAGGGAGCAAACACAGGACAGCAGCACTGCAAAGAGAAGGAAAACTTGACACAAACCCTATACCAACCCGTCTGGCCAGCGTAGTATAGTAGGCGAAAACCTCCTTTCTAAGGATCATGTCCAGCAGTGGACTATGAAAAGCTGTTGATGATTGATGAAAGTAACAGTCAGTAGATAAGCTTTTATACCTGCTGACAGTGCCACGATGGACCAGTGTCCAGTGTGCTCGTGGATGACGGTCGGTGCTCCGGAACGGAACCCACAACCCGTCGAACACAACACTCTTGTGGGACTGACGTGTGAGGAGTTAGGGCGCTGAATAAGTAGATGGAGAAATAAAATTATTGCAAACAAAAAGAAGGGAGTTAAATTCCATGTGATTTCTAGCGCGAAATCTACAATAAGACCACTTAGAATATAACTACACGTTTTTGTAACATCTTGCTAAAATGTTTTCTTTTTTTTGTTTTCCTTCACGGTTAAACCACCATGAGGGGGGGAGTTTATTACATTATTCTGGTACATTCTGCAACTTGTAAGCTTATTCTGCAATAGTTTTGTGGTTATGTGAATCAGGGCATATGAGTGAGTATTTGAGTGCGTTATGTGTTATTAATTATTATGTCCGTGTAGTGACGGATTAAGAATACGGAATTTCACTACCCCAATTCATCCCGTGGGTGTCGTAAGAACCGACTAAGGGCGCAAAACAACGCAGGACACCAGCACTGCAAAAAGACGGAAAACTTGACACAAACCCTATACCAACCCGCTTGGCCAGCGTGGTATAGTAGGCCAAAACCTTCTTTGTAAGGAGAGGCCTATGTCCAGCAGTAGACTATTAAAGGCTGTTGATGTGATGTGTTATTAAATTCTTTGAGTGTGTTAACTATAAGGGTGATGTGAGTCATAAAGGTATGGGTGGCGGTGTTATTGTTGATCAGTAAAAGGAATTACTTCATAATTATATTACAATATTAAATATTATCAGCGAGAGCGCATCAACTTTGCAGGTAACTTCACAATTTAATTGTGCATACGAAAACCAAACTAAATAGATTCATTGTAGTTCTCCTTATTTTCGCTACATGGCGCTGGGTATTTAACCATAACTTCTATTTTTAAAATGATATTCTAATTATATTAAGTTATTTAGCTGTGTTATAAGAATGGAAGTTAAAAGTTTAGTGAATAAGCATACTTCTCCGACAAGGTCCATCAAAGCTTCTGCGTAACCGTGTTTATTACAAAGTTCAGTGTTAAATACTTTGACTGTATATACCTCTTTCTCTTCCTCAGCAAAATCTCTAGGCACATCTGAAAATTGACGAATAATCATTATTATATTGGCTAATGGTTGAAATTATTCGGTAAGTGGTATTGCTACCAGATGAATAGGCGGCCTTTGTAGTAGGGCTTAGTAAAGCAGAGGGATTAGTACCTCCTTCTTTTTTTAAGTAGTAAAAGTCTGTTCTTAATTTAAAAGTTATTAAACGTGCACAGAAAGAATAGAGGCCCTTTTATGGTTTTCAATGTAATTGAAATAGTTTTACTGCGTCTATGGTTCTTGATCTAACGAGAAGCAGGATCCATTTTTAAGAAGTGTTCCATATTTGAATATTCAGTATTACATAAGAACCAAAGAGCTTATAAATATAGAGGAAGCGAACAAGGCGCCATCGCATACGGTTGGTAGACAGAGAAAGTAGATTGCTTTGGTCTTGCATCTCTCTCTGCTCTTGTCACTGGTTGTTTTAAATACCCTCTTTAGTATCAGCCAATCAGTGCAGAGAGGAGAGAGAGAGATTAAAGACCAAAACAATTCCCTTTTCCCTGTCCAACGGCCGTACGCTACCACTTACAGAGGAATATACACGTACAGTTCGCTTATCTCTATGACAAGAACTGAGACTCCGTTTGATAGACAAAGGTCTGTCTTAAATAAAATAAAACTTCTATCCATTATCTATACATATACGTACACATATAAATGTTAAGTTGGTTTGTTTTCAAAACTCAAAAAGTTTTGCACCGATTGAACTCAGATTTTTACCCGATACCCGATTCAAAGACGTTTTGCAAGTATTTGTCGCCGCCACGTTGCCGGCCTTTTAGGGAGGAGTACGCTCTTTTCTTGAAGATCGTATCGGTCCGGAAATACCGCAGACGATAACCTGTTCCACAGATTGGTTGTGCGAGGCAAAAAGTGTCTCGAAAAGCGCACAGTATTGGAGCGCCAACTATCCAGGTAATGAGGATGAAAATTTTGCCGTGTGGAACGATGGCGGAAATTTGCGGCTGGTATTAGTCCGAACAATTCCTCATAGCACTCTCCATGATATATGCGATAGAGAATGTAGAGTGAACCCACAAATCTACGTAACGCCAAGGGATCGAGCCGACCGGAGATATTTGGGCTATCGATGATTCGAGTCGCTCTTCGTTAGATGCGGTCCAGAGGGAGAAGCTGGTACTAAGGTGCCCCTGCATAGAGATGAGAACAGTATTCCATATGCGGCCGGACTTGCGCCTTATAAAGCTGAAGGCGGTGGGCCGGAGTGAAATACTGCCTCGATCTGTTCAGGACACCGAGCTTCTTCGAGGTCAATTTGACCTTACCCTCTAAGTGACCCCGAAACTGGACTTCGATATGTCGATGCCTAAAATTCCGATGCTGGCTAAGGCAGTTAGGGAGGTGTTGGAGTTTCCCGCAACACAGGATTTATTCTTATTGTTCCAGGGATTTTCTTTTCCTAGGGTACATCTGGTTCCCCGGCTACTGGTACCTGAGACGGGGTGAGGTTTTGGTCGGTCCATGTCCGACATAACCGTATATGGGATTTCCGCACAGACAAAAAAAGGAGATCTTCTTAGTTCAGGAATAATCTTTAATAAAAAAAAAGTTTTATAGCTATTTTAGAAGACTTCTATTTCAAAACAAAAACTTTACTGTAACTGTAACGCTCTAATGATTCAGTTTCAAATTTAATACAATAAAGCTACCATGGATAACTACTATTTTATGTTTGATGAAATACTTTACTTAGAATACTTACTTAGAATTACTTTTTAATTACTTTCTTAGAATTCAAAGGTAAAGTAACCTTTGAATTATTTTTATCTCATGATCGATAAATATGATAGTAACTTTAGCCCACGACTCCGCTCGCGTGCATGTGCATGACTTACCAGATGTGAAATCAACATGAAGAATCCTATAACTGCTCTGTGTGGCCTCGTCTTTCAAATAGTTCTTGAAAGGCAGACATAAGGGTAACATGTATTCTGAAATTTTAAATACATATCTAATACATTTTATACGAGCAATTCCTGTACATATCGCTCGGTCATCCAGGTACTGTATATTATTGGCGCAAATGAGCAGACGAGGGTAAATGACTGAGGGTAAATGACTACCCACGCCCATGGACACCTGCATTAATCAGAGGGAGGAGAAGTTTGGGCTCCGCCGCTTCGGTAACCTCACTTACTCAGTGAAAAACAAGAATAGAATTGCTTGAGACCCGTAGTGCTATGCTCACACAGCGCTGCCACACTGTCGAACTTCAAACGAACTTAGTTTGAAGTTCGCCGCAGTGGCAGCGATGTGCGCAAGGCTGTTTCCTTAGAGAGTAGGCTTTTGAGGTACTTTTGAGGCCCAAGTGTGAGTTTATTTCACTTCTACTCAATCGTCACGGTGACCGCGTTTGGCGCTGCGATCGGCCCGCGCTGAAATCTCCGCCAATCGCAACGGCAAACGCGCTCGCCGTCGAAGGCGAGTCGATGTGAAATAAACTCACTTCGGCCTCTGTTTTTATTTTAATTCGTTCGTTGAATCTCTCTGGTGGAGCCGGTCCCGTATGTGCTGGAGCATGACTCTGCCGCGATATACAGCTTAGGGTGGGAATCGAACCCACGACCTATGGCTTAGCTGTCACGATCACAGCCCTCAATTCAAAATCATCTTCCTGATTGCAAATTTTGATATTTTTTGAAATTCAATTGCTGTTCGAATGATGATTCTGTGGCACTAAATTAGACAACATGAAACTACGGGCACAGGAACATATTAAGCAATTAAAGGCTTAATACCTATTAATCTTGGTCCTAGGTCTAAGTAGGATCTAGGTCCGTGTGGTGACGGATTAAGAATACAAACTGTCAAAACCCCTATTCACCCGTGGGTGTCGTAAGAGCCGATTAAGGGAGAAAACTACGCAGAACAACAGCATTGTAGAGAAGGAAAACTTGAAACAAACCCTATACCAACACGTCTGGCCTGCATGGTATAGTAGGCCAAAACCTCCTTTCTAAGGAAAGGCCTATGTTCAGCAGTGGACTATTAAAGGCTGTTGATGATGATGATGTGATGATCTTGGTCCTTTGTCTTTTATATTATTCTTATTATGCTATGACATCTTATCTTTTTATTATAATTGTAAGACATAAGATCATTTACGAGTATTAGCTTGGTATGTATGTATCTATGTAACGGAATCTTTGAAGGTAATTTTCACCCACTCTAAAACGTCGGATTCAATTGAAACTTTGTACACTTATCAAGGACCGATGACAATACAATAATTTAATTAATTTGTCTGATTCTCCTGATCAGGATCAGGATTAACGGCTTTTACCTTAGTGTCTTGTGCCACGTACTAAGGCGTGTTCTGAAGCATATGGGAAATCCTTGTTGTTCTTACTTTTTGGTTTTTAATGAGAAAATAATCATCATTAATGATAACAAAATCATAAATAAATAATAGTTTAAAAAACTAAAAAAACACGCTTGTATGTTGATGTGTTTTTCAAGAGGTAGTAATGTGGGCCGCGGCCCGCCAGGCATGATCACCTTGCCTGGTCGGAGGATCCTCCCTTTGTGTTGGAAGGACATGACACCCGTTCCTCCACTCCATTGGTAAAAGCAAAGTTATTATATTATAGGTATTGGATACCTGTCAATAAAATATTCACAACACTTGACATCTAGGACTCCATGCATTTTTACGATTCTTCTTTCTTTTTGAACTTATAGAAAATTATTTTCTACATTTTAATTTCGGCTGGTACATAAGCGATGACCGCTCAAACCATTACGCCATCAGTGCTGTGATATACTTACACCAGTATACCAATACTTACTAGACCTGATGGTAATCACCAACTTAAGCAGTGCCACGCTATGGTTAACGTGGAAGTGTTTGTACTCCGGATGCAGCAACACATCTGCTATAGGCACTAACAAGATGGCCGGGTCACAATCAATACCCGCTGCAATCTCTTCCAGAGTGAGCCCGCATTCTACTTCGTCTCGCTCGTAATCACTGAAGGCTACATTACCGCTGAAATAAAACCAATTCTTACTTTTACAGCAATGGAAGTGCAGATAGGCGAAGTAATCACGATTTGGATTAAGCTAGGATTGTTCTATCCTAAACTTGTTTTTTTTAAGGAAAAAACTCCCGTACTAGGAATATATGGTCGTAGAGGACTTTACAAAGATTCATGAAACGGTACAAAGAACACCCTGACTCAAAACAACTATTTGCAGATCACACAAAGTTTTGTCCCATTATAAATGATATTTATTTCTGTAAGTGAATCTTTTCAGATATTTTACCAGTCGGACTTTAGAGCTAGAAAGAAAGAAAGAAAATTTATTGGCACATGCAAAAAACCTTACAAAAAGTGCTAATAGGTCTGCAGCTCAGCATACTGTTAGATGGCCACAGGTGCCTTCCAACGCTGGTTTTCAGCTGCAGCCCATAAGACTGGATGTTGTCAGCTCGAAGCCATTCAAGTGTGTGATATGACGTGTATATATATATGTTTGTGCGACGCATCGATATCATAAAGTAAGGGAGGGAGAAAAAACTACACTAAAAAATAGGTAAAATTGGAAAAAATGCAATAAAAACAAAGGAGCATTTCCTCAGCCACAGCTCAGAACACTCAGCCCAGTAGGAAGAGGCAAGTTGACCGCTTAAATCAGTACGCCATCCGTGCAAGCAACATTGGCTGGTATTAAATTCAATCCTTATGTTATCATTAATAAGAATAAGTAAAAGTTTTTCAACTAACAGTGCATAACCATCAGGTACTTTTGCTGCGTCGTTGGCAGTGCAGAGAACGAACTGGCGACTGATCAGAACGACGCGAGGGACTCTGTAGTAATGTGGATTACCAGTTTTAACTGAAACATACCAAGTAGCATACTTACTAATCAAAGTTTTTTTATTATTCTAAAGCAACTTTTGGTGGTACTGTACTCAATATCAGATGCGGACAGGAACCTTCCAGAATGGTCAGGACGAAACCTGTGTTCTGCATCAGTCCTTATTGTTATAACTCTTTTACATAATGTCTTATAATAATGATCCGTGTGGTGACGGTTTAAGAATACGGTATGTCACCACCCCTATTTATCCCATGGGTGTCGTAAGAGCCAACTAAGGGAGCACACTAAGCAGGATAACAACACTGCAAAGAGAAGGTAAACTTGACACAAACCCTATACCAAGTCGTCTAGTAGAATAGTAGGCCAATACCTACTTTCTAAGGTGAGCCCTATGTCCAGCAGTGGGCTATTAAAGGCTGTCGATGATGATAATACATAACGTCTAAATTATAACATATCGTGGCAGAGTCATGCTTTGGACTAGGCTCGACTGGAGTGATAAAACGGCCTTACAGAAAACTGGTGGAGGTGTGAGGGACTAAAAGGAAGACCCGTCTGCTCGGTTGTCCCCTGTACCATAACCAAAAAAAAAAAACATAAATGACGAGCCTGTTGGTCTGGTTAGTGACCCTGACTGCTAAGCCGTAAGTCGTGGGTTCGATTCCCACCCAGGACAAATTATTGTGTGGTTAATACGATCATTTGTTCTGTGTCTGGGTGTAGGTAATTTAGAAATATAAGTATGTTTATCAGCAGTCTGGTTACTATAGTACAGACCCTGCCTAATTTGGAATCAGACGGTCGTGTGTGAGATGAGTGAAGTTATTATAATTTTTTTAAAGGCTACACGAAGTTATTAGAAAATGTTCTATGAATTAAATGGTCACATACCATGTATGTACTGTAAAGCGCCCAGCCAGGTGAACCGTAACTGGGTTAGCATCCCATCTTCGGGGTTGAACCCAGGATCGTCGTGGCATGCGTAGAATTGACATTTTATTGTCACTGAACCTGGAAATATGACCAAAGTTGTAAAGAATTTGTAAACACAACCTTTTTTTAAATTTATTTATAACTTTATGCACATTTGTACATCGGCGGACTTAATGTCCACGGCATTCTCTCCCAGTCAACCTTTAGGTAGTGTAGAAGTTTCGCGAAGCGGGACCGGGAGAGGTTTAGAACTCTCCCGACCCGCCAGGCCCGGGCACGGGCCAGGCAGCGCAGGCGACTCAGGCGCCGGAGGTCGCAGAACGACCTCCGTCCTCCATAAGCGCAGGCCTGGGGGTGACAGGTGAGGCCATCTGTCACCCTAGCAGAAGCAGGCCGGGGTGGCGGCGAGCGCGTTGCGAAGCGCGCTCGCTTCCAGGGAGCACAGGGAACATGGGGTTCCCACACGGGGCGGGGGTCGTCTACTCGTCTGTAGATGACCCGAGGTATGTCGGGGCACCAGGGCCTTCCTTTCTAGGGTATACCTGGTTCCCCGGCTATTAGTACCCGGCGAAGGCGTGCGGTTTTAGTCGGTTCGAGTCCGACATTCCACCGACAGGTGGTATCCGAGGGGATTTCCGCACGGAAAAAAAAAAAAAAAAAAAAAAAAGGTAGTGTAGAAGTCGTGAGTGGTAGGCGCATATAGGTTATAACACTAATCTCTAAGATATACACTACACTACACAACACAAATCACGTAATTTTATACACAAGCAAATACAGACTAAACACATATATATATAAATACACATATAATACGTTTGATATCCGCTGCGAGTGAGTATTGCAAGAAAATTTGTCTTTAATATTCAAGTGACTTCAAAATTCGTAGCCGTAGGAGCAAAAACCTCCTTTCTAAGGAGATGACTATGTCCAGCAGTGGACTATTAAAGCCTGTTGATGATGATTTCACTGTGTGATTAAGGTTACCGGAGGCTGAAACCCCTTCGCCTAATTCTGTCCACCCCCTCGCCCTAATCTCTAGATAGTTCAACTGAATACGGAATATTTGTCGCTCTTGAGGTACAGGTGTCTATGGGTGGTGGTAGGTACAGATGGTCACTTATCATCAGATCAGATGATTCTGTCTATACTATAAAAAGTAGGATAGAGGTGAAAACAGTCAAAATGGTCTTTATAAGAATTAGTTTGCAATCCATAAAACCTTTCTTACAGGACAGTATTATTAACTAAAAACGTATTACGAACACACTTAACGGCTGTCTACTCATGTATACACAGCAAAAATCCCAATTATTTTTAACACAGAATGATGGTCTGAAACACTATTTCAGTATTCGTTACGATGTCCCTTACACCCTGTATACACAAATTAAATTTTAACATTTCCTAAAAGCAAAAAAGCCTATCAACCATTAAAAATACATATACTTACAACAATTTATAAACACAAATAGTATCATTACATATTTGCACATTATTTTCTTTTCACCATATACACTACAATTACTTGATGCGTATTACACAATACAGTTTATAAATCAATACTACAATCTTATGAACAATATGTTTGTGTTTGTTTATTGTTTGTTTATATGTTTATTTGATTGTTTAAAGAATTTCGTTGTTTACTGTTAAATGTCGTTTCATTAATTATTATGTCTTTTGTTGTCTAACCCTGGGGTTCGACAGAGGTAAGCTTGTATAATATGTGTGTTTATTTCGTGTCCGTGTTCTGAAGACGTCTCCAATCATTAAGTCATCATCGGGTTCACGACCCTGGCATCTTAGAGCTACTGTAGTCTCAGTTCTAGCTCTTCTCTATCCCTTTTCCTTACCTTAATTTACCTCCTTCCTTTGTGCGATTTGCAAAGTATTGTGGTTTTTTTTGTGCACCTTTTTTTTTTTCCGTGAGGAAATCCCCTCGGATACCACCTGTCGGTAGCATGTCGGACTCGAACCGACTAAAACCGCACGCCGTCTCGGGTACTAATAGCCGGGGAACCAGGTATACGCTAGAAAGGAAGTCCCTGGTGCCCCGACATACCTCGGGTCTATCTATATCATCTTCGCAACGCGCTCGCCGCCACCCCGGCCTGCTTCTGCTAGGGTGACAGATGGCCTCACCTGTCACCCCCAGGCCTGCGCTTATGGAGGACGGAGGTCGTTCTGCGTGCACTCAAAGGGCGACAACACACTTGCAACTATCAAGCTGCAGACACTACCAGGTGACCCGTCAGATCGTTTGAGCCCTATAGCTTAAAAAATAATTTAAGTAATATATTTTTTATCTAATTTGTATGTAAATATATGTTTTTAATACACCAGGCCCCTACCTGACCTGGTGTAACTTAAGTCATTCCGTAAAACATAAATTTAATAAACAAGAGTTTCATTGAAAGCCCCTATCTTTAAACGAGTCCATCGCCTTGACCAGCCAACCTTGAAATCATCTGTATGTATCCGGTTGGATTAAAAATTTATCATCTCAATAACTGTTCTTAGTAGTTTTACCTGTTCCTGTCGTTGTACTCAAGACGGCTCCATAATTGTTTTACCAAAGACCAAAGTATTTTTTTAAATGAACCTATGATAGTGTTAAATGTTAAAGCATACCACCAAAATAAAATACAAACTCTTAAGACTAGGGCAGACATCTGGTCCACCAGGGACTTCCTTTCTACGGAGACGGCGACGACGACGGAGACGGCGTGCGGTTTTAGTCGGTTCGAGTCCGACATGCCACCTATAGGTGGTATCCGAGGGGATTTCCGCACGAAAAACAAAAAAAAAAAAAGGGCAGACATATTTTTTTTCATGTTCGGAAATCCCCACGGATATCACCTATCAGTGGGGTGATTAAGTCAGACTCGAACCGACCCAAAACCGCCGGTAGCCGGGGAACCAGGTGTACCCTAGAAAGGAAATCCTTGGTGCAGAAATCTCCTCGGTTACCTCTCATCGACATAACCAGTCCCACTTAAAACAGCACGCCCCGGCCCGGGTACCACAACCTAGAAATCCTCTGGTACCCGACAGTGTCTGTCAGGGGACAGGGCCTTTAAGTTTTAACGATAAAGACTAGAATTATTTAGATAATACAAAAACCTATGTGATTTTCTCCCCAATTAGTTAGGCAGTTCTGACTTGACTGCGTGACAAACAAACAAAGAAACTAACATATATAATATCAGTTAGAATTAAATCATCCATGAACACCTTAGATATTATTATGAGCATCGTAATACGTTATTTTGTTTACTATCTCCATGTCGGTATGCCATAATGACAGTATTATTGTATATTGATATTCGACACGAACTAAGGAATCTTTGACCTGGCGCCATCTGTGATTGTATCATTGAACTACTGATGACACACATTTGGATGAGGCTTATAAAATGTAATAAAAACCTAAAATATGTGAAAAGAAGATTATCATCAATGGTGATAATGATGATGAATCTTCTTTCGCGCGGTCGCTGTCTGAAATTTTGGAGTGCGATAATTAGAGTATAATTTTGCACAATACACAATTTTATTGGACACATTATTAAACAAATGAAAGTCTTCTACATTTATTAGAAAATCGGGTGATAATTTTTTAGACGTCTGGGGCTATCTCTGGATGAATATTTAGAAGATCTAAATTATAAAATATTTGGCATATTTTACCAAAAAGGGATACAGTGCCAAAATAAAATAAGCTCCACGCTTCACTAGAATTATAATACGAAAATTTAAGGAGATATGGTTTCAGTTATGTTTTATACTAAAATAAATTAACTTAAATTCCATGATCAAGTGGGAAATAACCTACAAACTCACCCACACAACGAAAGAGTCATATAAAAATAAGAACTTACCCTAGATATTAAAATTACTTACCATTAATATCAAATTATCATTAATCAACGCTCTGATCATCAAATCAAATCAGTAATAGTTATACACTTATATTTTATTTTCGTTCTCAGTCACAAAGCATGAAAATTCTTTTTTTTATTTTTGTATTTTTTTTAGTTTTTACAATTTGACGTGTACGATTTTGGGGAGGAACATGTCCCCTGTGACCCCCCCGTTCGGACCGCGCCTGCTCCTTAGAAAGGAGGTTTTGGCCTACTATATCACGTTGGCCAGACGTGTTGCTATAGGGTTTTTTTCAAGTATTTCTTCTTAACATTGCTATAATCCAGCGTAGTTAGCTACCTTAGCCGGCTCTTACGATACCCACAGGCTGAATAATGGTGGTGACACTCCGTATTCTTAATCCGTCACCACATGGCCACACATACATCTCCGGTCACGGTACAAAAGTACCCGGGCATAAAACCCGAGACCTCAGCACAGTAGTCGCATAAGCAGTCCAATTAATTTATAGATGTTTAAAAACTGATCTTTTTTTTCACATGTGCGGAGCAAACAAGTAAAATCATATTTAGATTAAAAAAAAATCTTTTCTGAAATTCTGGACGTCGTTCTTGTTTCAATTTAATACTAAAAATATATTTAAAAACCTAACAGGTATTGGCAATGAAGAAATGACAGCAATTTATAGAGAACAATTAATTGTTTGCCACTGTCGTGATATAAATATAATAAAAATAATAATAAAAAATAATAGTGAAATATCATATTTTTAAGACAATATGTCTTAAAAATATGATATTTCACTATGCCAACATATTTTCTTGCATCCCAGCGCCTTACTTGATATTCCGTTGCAACGTTTCATTAGTTGGACTGCGCACGCGCATACAATAAGCGATACTTGCGCCGTGACAAATTGCCCACATCCTGTATAGTGCAACTCACGAATCTTAATAGTGACTTGCAGGAGAATGTATAAAAACAAACGAGTAAGAATCTGAATCTACTGCCTCGGTGCCGCAGTGGTAGTTTATGCGACTGCTGTGCTGAGGTCTCGGGTTCGATTTCCAGGTCAAACCACTTATTTGCATGATCTGAAAATATTTGTTTCTTAGTTTGGGTGTTTTCTATGTATAATATATATGTATTTACAAAAAATAGTATAAGTATTGCATTAGTTAATGTAGCTTTCATAGTACAAGCTCTGCTTAGTTTGAAACTAGATTGCGTCGTGTAAGACGTCCAAAATATTATTATTAATCAGCTCATCCATGAATGGACTTCCATTGTCCTGTTGATTGTAATAAGAGAGTCAGATACCTTCATAGACACTTTCTTGTAGTCAAAACTTTAGTCAACTTAATTTGACTTAACTTTAGTCAAATTATTTTGTTGCCTTTTACCGTGTGGGGTTACCGGCGCCAAAACCTCCCCTCCCACTGATTCACGGTGGGGATTTTACAAACATACAGGAAACGGACACAAAGAACACCCAGACTCAGAATAACAATTTTAACGAGACCGAAATAAAGTAATAAGTTAATAATTGATACTGTTTCAGCATTTTTATGTATGCTTTTTATTTTTGTAAATTTATGAATCAAAAACAAATTTATTTAAAGATATATTATTAAAAACAAGAATTTATAACTATTTCACGTTTACTTTATTTCACGTTAATTATTACACGTTTTTAAAACAAAAACAAAGGCATCACTATGTTCATAAACAATCTTTAGCCCTTTTAAAAGGAACTACCTGCCTTGAATTCATAACACTTCAATGATAAAATTTGCGTAATCCCCGCGCAATATTTCACCTCCCATAGGGGTATCACCATAAGAATTTAGTACAAAACCTACTACAAATTGCGTCACACCTTGTAAAATATTTCAGATAAATATATATACGAAAAAATCCATCCTTTTTTATCAGTAGTGCCTTGTGTTTCAAAATGGCAGTGTTAATTTTTCTATTTTTGTTTGCATTTGGAGACTGTCTACCTTTTAATGGTAAGTCAATATTTATTTAGTGATTCTATGCTAAATCTATGTTTGTTTTTATTGTTTCTTCGCGGTTTTCCTAATCGGTTTTCATCTAAAGAAAGGTTTAAATAGGTAGACCCGCTCAGATATTCTGTGTAAAACAGTAATTACCTGAAATATAAGATGTATTATAATAATAACATTTCGGACATCTGACACACAACGCTATCTAGTTTCAAACTAAGCATAGCTCATATTATGAAAGCCAGATTGACTGATAGAATACTTATTTACTTTTTTGTAAAAACATACATATACATAGAAAACACCAAAAAACTCCGAATATATTTGCAGATCATACAATCATTTGGTCTGAGCCGGGTATCGAAGCCGAGACCTCTGCACAGCATCAAAAAAGATATGGTTGTGTTATCTTCCTCTATCCCAAAAAAACTGTACTGAGCCCGACAAGGTCCATAATTGTTGACGCTTGAATTGTGGTCACCCATGTATTTACATTATGGAAGCAATAAAGTATTGAGTATGAAATACTTCAACATTGACTCCAAACTTTCTTATACCTTTTCCAAATACACAATGTCTGAATCCAGGGACTATGTATTTTTTCTTTTGGCATTCTGTGTCAAGTAGTATGCACAAAAAAAAAAGCGAACTGACGCGATGTCAAAATGTATTTACTATTATATGGAGATCTAAAACATTTGGGCTTCCGTATACTTTGCATAAATATTTTGCAAAACCTCTTTCAAAACATGTGAACTACACATCTCTCGTATTTAAATAACGTTTTAAATGTACCTGCCTGTAATTCTAAGTCTCATCTAATTCAGTAATGATAAAAAGAGCCAACTGTAAAACCTCTTAACAGTCACCTTAAAAAAGAAATGTGTTTCAAATACAGTGCTGCCTATCCTTTCTTCGAATATAAGCTTGATATCACACCATACATCACAATAAGTTGATACATTGCACATACCATAAAGTACAGACAAATTTCACTCATATCCGGCATGATAGACGTTGTCAAATGCCTTTTAAAAATCGTGATTTGAATTAATAGGTCTTATAAGGCGACAATGTTGTGCCGTATTAAAAACCTGTCATGTCAACATGGCGGGTGTTTTGTTGACCTAAAAAAAGTTTCAAATTCTAAAATCGATTTGTTCTTTTTCATAATACGTACCCACAGTTTTGTTTTGTAAGGAAAAAGAATTCATTTTTATTCTTTAATTAGAAACTGAAATCGTAAACAAATGTACCGTTTTTTTTTTCATTAATAAAGCACTAGTGTAAATTATAATACTAGTAATTATAGTTAGTATGAATCTTAAACACGAACTTAATGAAAGCGAATCATAAAGTAGAATAATCATCATTGTCTTTATTCATCTCCTCGTTTCGACTTCATTATTAGACCATCCTTTCTCCAATCTATTCAATGAGACTAAACTAGGTTTGGGTCGACCTTAACTCTATACGATAAAAGTAAAAATGTGATTAGAAGTGTGCATGTGTCGATTTTTTGGGGAGACTCAAAATGTGGCGACGCAGTTGTAACCCTTGAGTTGCAGGTAATCATGGGCGGTGGTAGTCACTTACCATCAGGTGAACCTTCTGCTCGTTTGCCCCCTATACCTTAAAAAAGTAATCAGAAAGCAGGTCTATAGATATTATAACACGAGTGGTGCTTGGAGTTAATCAGATTAATCCTATCACATTAAGTGAAATACATAAAGTATCTCTAATTTGTAAAGTTATAAAGTTTATATTTCTTTAAACTTTTATCTGTGTAGGTATCAAGGCAACCTGTGACGTCAAACTCTATTTATATTCTATCAAATCAGTTGTGGTAACTATTACATAATTTCAATAGAACTTGCCATGTCAGGATGGCCGAGCGGTCTAAGGCGCTGCGTTCAGGTCGCAGTCCACTTCTGTGGGCGTGGGTTCGAATCCCACTTCTGACAAACTTTTTGTACTACAAAAATAATTACATTATCTGACTTTTACTAAACTTGTAGAGTAAAAAAGGTTTTACGCTGTTAAAATAAAAAATTTTACAGCAGAAAATTAAATATTCACAAACATGCGCGCGAAACATGAAATTTATTAGTCGACATGAATAAACTTAACATGATAAAATTAACTTCTTAACTAATTTAAAGGCGTTATGTTAAAATAAATTCACAACCATAAACATACGAGTAACTTTGTTCTTTACACTACACTACAATCAATTTATTCCTACAGTATTATAAAATGCATTAATACAGAAAATTAATAAAAACGTAAGTTATTATCATTCAGAATTCATAGTAAATAAATATTTGCAAATTATTAATTGCCATTTTAACCATTTTTTTAACCATTTAAAAAAAGTGGAGGCACTCATTTCGGAAGTGTTTTTGTTTGGTACTTTCTAGTACTCCGGCATTTGTGACCCGAATGGAAAAAATCTTTTTTAATGCAGAAGGTATATCTCCTGTTTGGTACCATACAAATTTGAAGAAACAAATACTTTTCCTATAAGTGGAAAATTAAAGAATGAAAAGTACAGTTCATTAAAATTCATGTTTTATTCCTTTTTTTGTGGTTTTAGTGGTTATTTCTTTGTGTGATTCGTATCTTCTCCGATAAATACATGTTTTTAATTCTATTTTATGTTACTTTCACTTGTAACTATGAGAAATAATAACGGATATAATTTTAAAATAAAATGTGGTATTTCTTTTTATTTTATATTATTATACTTTTTTCTTTTGTGATCATTTGTGTGACTGTTTATTTTCGATAATAAATGAATAAAATAATTAATGAACCTACCTACATATCGCAATATTGAAAATTTTTTTTTTATGTTTATGTAGTTTGGATGTCAATACATTAATGTGCCATCTTGGAGCTGATCGTGACACAGTAATAAATATGTAAGAAATATACTACACTGCCTGGTGCAGTGATAGCGTATATGACAACTGTGCCGAGGTCTCGAGTTCGATTCGGGATTTGTATGATCTGCAAATATTTTTTTCAGATTTAAGCTGTTTTCTCCGTTGGTATAATATGTAAAAAGTATATAAGTATTCTATCAGTCAATCTAGCTTTCATAGTACAAGCTCTACTTAGTTTGAAACTAGATGGCGTTGTGTATCAGATTATTTTTATAAAGCCAACAAAGAAGGAGGTTCTCAATTTGACTGCTTTAAGGGTTTTTTTTTGTGAAATGGGGGGCAAACGAGCAGACGGTGCACAGGATGGTAGATAACTCATAGACACGTGCAACAGAGAGAAAGTTGCAGGCTCTTAGAGACAGAAGTAAGGACGTTCCCGCCATTTGAGTCTTACCCAGAATTATAAAAGAGCAGCTCCTGTAGTCTTACTTGGTGAAAAGCAAAGAAGGAACTGCTGAATAGGCAATGTGTATGACGCTATATCTTCGCCTTTTGAAACCCGATTTCATTGTAATGTAACCCATACTAGTACTAGTAATATTAGTAATAATATATTTATTTATTTTCAAGACAACTCCCGCACTATGAATAAATCCTGTGTCTTTACAAACATACATTAAACGGACACAAAGGACACCCAGACTGAGAAAAACAATTTGTGTATCACACAAAGTGTTGTCCCATGTGGGAATTGAACGCACAATACCCAGCGCAGTAGGAAGCGGCAAGGTGACCGCTTAAACCACTACGCCATCCGTGCAGTAATAATAAATGCGAAGTTTGTCTGTCTGTCTCTCTGTCGGTTAGTCTTCACGCTTTAACCACTGAACTGATTTAGATTAAATTTGGTAAAGAGATAGTCAGAGTCACGTGAAAGGACATAGTTTTTATTCCAGAAATCATACTTTAAGGGGTTAAAAAGGGGGGTGGAAGTTTCTACGAGGAATCAAGAACCGCTGAACTGACTTCAATTAAATTTGGTATGAAGATGCTTTGATTCTTGAGGTAGCAAATAGGCTACTTTTTACCGCCATTACCGACATTGAATTTAAAGCCAGTATTCCTTAAATCTAATTGATTTTGATTATCCTTAACTTTAATCCCAATTAAATTTGAAATCACTTTTCTATCTCTTAATGTCACAAATTGTGGAATGAAGGATCAGGAGCATTGAAGTCGGTTTTTTAAAAGGTAATGAACTTAATTATGTATTAATAGTGTATCAAATATTGTCTGCAGTGTCATCAGAATTCTACTCATCCTCTACTCCTGAGACTCGAGACGAATGGGAGCGTATCGTGGGCGGAACCAAAGCACCCAATGGCTCAATCCCCTACCAGGCCTCGTTAAGGGTATTCGGAGTTCGGCATTTCTGTGGAGCTTCTGTTATAACTCCGAGGATCATATTGACAGCTGCACACTGTTTGGAGAGGTAAGAGTCGTAAGAGAAGTGAAGCGCCTGATACATCAGTTTGCTACGCTCCTTGACTGTGTACTCCTTTTGGTAAAGTATTCCGTCAATAACAAAGATTAGTTGTAGGTAAAACTACATATCTTTTATATTCTAAATAATAAAATAATAAATAATATTGTACCACATTCACACAACGCCATCTAGTCCCAAACTAAGCAGAGCTTGTACTATGGGTACTAAGACAACTGATATAAATACATTTATACTTTTTTTGTAAATAGTACATACTTATTATGCATAGAAACACCCAGACCAAATCAAACATTAAATGTTCATGCACACAAATATTTGACTTGAGCGGCAATCGAACCCGCGACCTTTGGAATAGCAGTCCGTTACACAAACCTCTACGCCATTCGGTCGTCACATACAACATAACATAAAACATCGTCGTAACATAAAACATTAATACATTACTAATGTTTTTTAATTAAACATGCAATAACACATTGATTCAATTGTTTGCTCAGCGATATTGAGCAGGCGTTAAAATAATGTCCTCCAATAACTGCAAGATACGAATGCTTTAAAATGAAATTATGCTGCTCACATTTGAAACTGATAAACATTTAATATTTTGATGTAATTCTTATTTCGTTTGTTTTCAATTTGTTTATTTGAAATTGAATTGTTTAGTATATTTTTTTGTGTTAGTATGAAAATGTGAGTACAGTGTAGGCTTGTAATGTTAATTAATATTTTAGTAACTTTCTGATATTTTTGAGTGTTTGTGTTGGTGTGTCGTGTTCCAGGTTGTTGATCCTGCCTATATCGATTAGGTTAAAACATGGGGCTCGTATGCCGTCTGTATGGACGGGCCGACTCAATACTATGATCCTTTCTTCAAAAGGCCAACCCAGACCCTATACTGCTCCCACATAGTTCTCTTTAGCATTGTACACGGAGTTAAAATAACACCACCTCAATAAAACACCTCTGTGGTTTCTTCCCAAAGCCAGTCTTAGGAAATGCCGGCGCCTTCTATCTGTAAAGTCCGACTTGTAAAAATATCTGAAAAGATTTACTTGCAGAAATAAATATCATTTCATAATTTCATCATTTCACTTCAGTAGCCACGGTGGGCCAAGATACTTTTTTTCTTGTCCTACCCTCCATAAAAAAAGGCAGGATTTTTTTTCTAGTTTTTAGGCGTGGTCATCCAACATATTTTTTGTTATACTATGATATCTTATTGTGCATTTTTCAGTATGTTACCAAGCTACTACCAAGCTGTAGTAGGCACGAACCAACTGCGAACAGGAGGTAAAGCTTACAACATCCGAAAAATGGTCATGCATGAAGAATACGATTCTTATACACTAAAGAACGACATTGCCTTACTGTTCACTGAAAAGGAGATGGAGTTTGACTCTAATGTTGATGCCGTGGAGTTAAATGACGAGCCTGTTATGAAGGGAGAGGATGTGATGTTGACTGGTTGGGGGGCTACCTCGGTGAGTTTCAAACAGGTTGTTGATGGAGTGAAAGCACTTTCTAATCCACTAATTATTTACTTGGATAGTATCCAGGTCATGTTCCAAACGATCTAATGCAGCTGGATCTTAAGTCGATTTCATTAGAGGAGTGCCAGGAAGCACACAAGGACACCGACGCAGTGTTTGACACTAATATCTGTGCGGGGACCAAGACCGGGGAAGGAGCTTGCTTTGTGAGTATTATTTAAGTCTAATGTAAGTAAGTATTTAATAGGTACATGTTTGCTGCTAGATGCAGCAAGACATTCTGCAGGCGTTTGAAAAATTTTAATCAGCATTTTGCAGTCTGAGTTCCAAATAACTGCAACATCAACATTGAATCGAGAATCCTGGGCTAAAGAAAGCTTAACGCCGGTTTTTGTGAGACCTTGGTATAACTCCGGTCGAGCCTTAACACCGCATTTTGTAAGGCCGTGATATAACTACGGTCGAGGCGACCCGTTTATTCCGAAGCATAGCTCTTCTACACTCTTTAATATATCAGAATATACTTATTAAAATGTTTTTGATTCTATGTTTAGGCTAAATCACAGTATAAATATTGTTTTCATCTTATGTTTTGCTGTCTTTTTAATAAAAAATTAAATAATGCAGGGAGATTCCGGTGGGCCCTTGGTAAGAGAGGGCCGGCAAATTGGCATTGTGTCGTGGGGTATACCCTGTGCCAAGGGTAAACCCGATGTTTATACCAAGGTAAGTTGTTTTATTTCTAGTAATTAATACAAGGTATATTTTTCCTAACTATTCACGAATTAACCCACAAGAGACTACTTTTTTATCACGATTTAAAACTAACCAATTATAAATATTTGAGTTTGGCTCCTGTTTGTGAATGGCACCATATTATACCTATATAGTAAAATAAGGTTTTTTTTATCTTTTCTGTCTTTTTTTAAGACTACGCTCTAGGAATATATCCTGTGTCGCGGAGAACTTTACAAACATATGAGTATATGAAACGGATACAAAGAACACCCAGACTCAGAACAATAAATAATACCCTTAACAGGTGGGAATATATTTTAATTTTAGGTAGAAGCCTACATGCGTTGGATAGAGACGACCCTTTACGATGATGATGAAGAGCATTTGAGGTACCTGAAGAACCACAAGAATTTCAAGGGAAGAGCAACTAACCGTCACTAGCATTCCGTTGGACGAGAGAAACCGCAGACTGTTAGTAATATGAGATGATTTGTCTATAAATATACTTTTAACATTAAATTTATAATAGTATAACAAAACAGTAAAAAAGATGTTTTATTATCTCTGAACCTGCCATTCGGATGCCTGCACTCAGGAGGCCCAATCTCCTCCCACTCCCTAATTCTGGGTGGGTCCCTGCTGCTCAAGAGACACATGAGTCTCTTGAGCTGCAGATGACTATGTGCGGCAGTACTTGCTTTCCATCGGGTGAGCTATCTTCTCGTTGGATTCCAATACCATTAAAATTGATAACATATTTTTTAAGGAAGGTTATAAGTAATTTTCACAATACTTGCATGCATGCATCATCATCAACTGCCTTTATTAGTCCACTGCTGGACATAGTCCTCTCCTATGCCACGACTAAAACAATAAGGTGTAACAATAAGGGAAACGCCCGAGTGTTCGTTAAGGAAGGTTTCCCTCCGTAAAAAAGGTCAAAATAAAACTAATAAATTCACAAAAAAATATCATGTATTTTCTTCATGCATATAACTAATATCACAGCAGTCGTTCGCGACTGTTCCTAGACGAATACATGAAAACAACTCTATAATCATCTTACGTCTACTCCACCATAAAATAACCAGATAAATTCACTGGCTAAGAAAGATTGTTTCTCTTTAAAACTTAGGCCATATTCAATACAATAAGATGTTGAGAAAATTTCAAAACCGTTCTCATTTTATAACTAGAAAAGCAGAAAAAAAGCACAGAAGAAAAAAGTTTGGTTTTTAATTTCTCGCTTAAAAAATCTTTCGCATTTGATTACATCACTAACTGACTAACTGATTAACTGACAGTTCTAGAGTAAGACAAGAAGTAAATGAATTTATGATACCAACTGACAGCAGACTGTCAGCTTGTACATCGGTTAATGACGTATCGGATCTATTTGACGTTTGCAGTGCAATCTATTTTGTGTTTATTAAAGCTTTTCAAATTAAAAAAATGTGGTTTTAGAATTTAAAACACAATCATTAGTTACATAGTTACAACAGGTACAACATACCATAAATTAATTGTTACTAGCAACACTCTAATTGTGTACAAAATGAAACCCACAGTAAAGTTTATGACATGTTGTTAGCCATCTTTCAAATTTCGAATGTAAAACATACCATTCGATTTTGTTTTCTTTTTTTATTGCATTACTTATGCATTTTGTATTTAATTTCAAAAAAGTTACATACATTCTGACATGAATTTTAAAAAAATAGCGACAAAATCCTTGCTAAACTCCTACATTTTGTACATATATTTATCTCTATTATTATATAAACGAAATGGTGAAATGGCAGTCTTCTCTTTCATTTCGTACAGTCGATGACTAAATTAAAAATACAAATTTTATTTATTTAAGTTACTGCTGTGCTGACAACTTACTACATGGCAATATCATTCTATATTTTTTTAATAAAACATATTCGATGTTCGCCATCGACGTCATGTTTTCATTTAAATTTCGAATGTCTTGCAAACATTTATAAAACAATTTAAACATTAAGATAAATTAAGTAAGATTGATAATTAATTTCTCCCATAACATGACTATTTGTAAATAGTTATGTCAACACAATAAGTTTCCTAACATAAATATATTTGATTTCTACTTTAGTCACACACTTGGTAAACATTCATTAGTTACACACTTGGTAAATCTCTCGGTAAATAATTTTTAGTTACACATTCGGTAAAACAAATTATTATTCGTAGGGTAAAACACTCGGTAAACCATGTATCCACTAATGTTGCTAGTGTCTAAATATGGAAGAAAAAGGGGTAATTAATATTCATAATTATATCATACTCCACCTATATACTAATATTAATAGTTTTAGGTACAATGCGCAACCTTAAAAAATTCTACCATCAGCACATATTTAATTTACAGTCTTATCACTCAAACTTAGAGTCTAAATTCATTTTCATCTAAACATGCACATTTAAAAAGGTAGTATATTAAAAATATTGAACATCTTTTAAATTCCTTTAAAAAATCAATATTGCTCTTTCTCATTTAAATGTACATTTAGGGACAAATATCTTTTCGACTTATTTATTTAAAAATAAGGTAAGAGATTAATTAACTTTACATCATTTCCAACACATAAATGGATACGACTACCAGTAATATTCTTAAACGAATCCAAAGGTAATCAAAGAATTCCTGGACATCCTCATTGAAAATATAATCATAAATATCGTAGGTACTTTCTGAATTGTTGGTTTCTACAGCAAAATTTTCCAAATCCTTGGTGTAATCTCGCCCAAAAATACCAAATTTCACCACGTTTTGGCTGTCTACAATTTCTAATGTTACCTGTGTAGAAATACCGTTGAATCTTGTGTCAAATTTGAATTTTTCTACTGGTAACTCTGAAGTGACTTGGATGATCGGATACTGTGCGTTTGGTTTCGTAAAGTTGGCAGTAACTGAGATTTTCTCGAATATGATGTTGGTAGTGTTATTTGTTCTGCAAGAAAAGATAAAATAAAGGTCTTTATCTACTGATCTAGTCCAAATATACTACATATTTTAATTTTACAGGATGCAAAACTCTGAATCTGACCTCTAGATTAGGTTTTTTATTGGGACTAATCCCACCCACACGCCCACCGCTGTAACTCCTGTACACCAGGATCCACAGCAGTGACCCACGAACACACCGAGTTATGACACTCGGGAAGTCCCAGGAAGAAATTAAACTGTCTTGGAACCCGCAACGAAATTAATCAGAAGAAAATTGGAGGAGTTGGAAATACAGTAAATCCACTTCCCTCCTTAGCAAAGCGGGAGACAAAATGAAGTAAAATGGGCATACACCCTTTTAAACAGGGAAGCACCACGGCCACAAATATTACGGGTCCTACGTGAGCTATGTTCTAGATTGTTGTGTCTAGATTAGGTTAACAGAGTCATCAGTAGCTGGGTAGCGCCAGCTACTGATGACTCTGTTAACCTCTGTTTTGCAGGAAATATATATAATACCGAAAAAATACCCATTTTGCTTCGTGTAATTTATTGAGACACACTAGTAGTCGAGTGGAACATAATAATGGGACCAAAATTCATTTTTTTTGCTTTTGTCATCATCCTTAAATGTTACTCACACTAGCTTAATATCGAATTTGTCTTTTGTCTTTAGAAATACAGATTTATTGGCCTAAATATTTTGATAGACTAGTTCTTTTTAAGACTCCCGTAGAATTTCTGACTCAATCTGATATCTCATAATTATGTTTACTTAGGACAAATATTGGAATTATTAGCAAAACGTGACACGTTTACGAGTGGGTAGTAAATTATTTATTTCTTGTCATCAATAACAAAAGTAGGTAGGTAATAAAAAAGTGGCTATAAATTTACTTCAAGAAACATAGGACATTTAAAGAAAATTCTTACCCGAGTTCACAGCTTCTCTTATACAGTCCACTACAAGCAAACACGGCACAATTTTGGACTCCAATGGAGTTTTGACCTGTGAAAGGGTAGATTCCATCGAAGGCCGCAATGCCATAAGATGCTTCTGAATTGGAGCCTACAGGAGTAAAGGAAAATGAGTATAATTAATTAGTCTAGTTTCTAGAAGGTTCTGATTTTGATTCTCTGCTATCCCAATACTTTTAAAGTTTGTTTAATTTTTAATTGCTCATAGAAACCTTGGAACAGACAGAAATAAGATTGGTAAAATAGAAAAGCCTAGAGATTTTTTTATGGTAAAATAAATCAAGAAACAAGGATTTGGTAAGCTTGATGGCACACTGGTGTACGTGCCTGCTAACCATGCAGTGATTCAAACCTAAAAAAACATTGATACATTAGAATACACCAAAGACTTGCATGTAATATAGAATAAGCATTCACCTGTAACAGTGGTTTTGACATAAAATTCGCAGCAGAAGCTCCCGTGGCACACGGTATCTTTGTATCCTGTTGCACTCGCTTCAAGATCCAAAGGTTTAATTACGTACTGGCTTAGATCTTCCTTTTTAAAATGAGTTGAAGGAATGTTTGGAACTAAAGACTTTTCTGAAAAAAAAACGTATATAATTACCATCCAAACTGCATTAATATGGAGATATGTGGCGACTCCCGTATACAAATCAAACATATATTTTGGTGAAATCAAACTAAGACACACTTAACTACAGATCAACTGTTAATTCTGAATTGGACAATGAAAGTTCTCGCGCCGATAATATTTATATACAAATTCCCAACATCAACGGTTGGGGCGTTGTCCGCCAGGCATGGTCACCTCGGTCGGTCGGAGGATCCTCCTTTCATGTTCTTATCGATCTTCCATCGATAGTTCGTATCTTCCACGGGTCATCATCATCATCATCATCAACAGCCTATAAAAGTCCACTGCTGGACATAGGCCTCTCCTTAGAAAGGAGGTTTTGGCCTACTATACCACGCTGGCAAGCGGGTTGATATAAGGTTTGTTGCAAGTTTTCCTTCTCTTTGCAGTGCTATTGTCCTGCGTAGTTTGCTCCCTTAATCGGCTCTTACGACACGAATAGGGGGGGTGACATTCCGTATTCTTAATCCGTCACCACACGGACAAAATTAAAATGTTAGATGCTTTTGACTTTCCGGCTACAGCCAATTCTAGCAACAGGTATTGGCACATAAGCAGATCTCCAGATAAGGGTCGCCGCTTATCTAGTCGAGGTATTGCTCATACTTCTTAATATAACTTCTGTAATTCCTTTTCTTCTTAGCTACCGTTTTTATACAATAATGAATATAAAAGAAACTTACGAGATCCAACATTGCTATAGAGATCTTCTATCACTAAGCTTCCAGAATAAATCTTGAAACCGCTCTTCCCTAAGAAAATTCCATTGTTGGAGATCAGGTTGACGTTATTCATGTAACTCCAAGATGAAAGGAACTGAGGACCTGCAAAAAGACACATGTAATATATTCTATTGTAATCCTAGTTTTTTTTTTGTGCTAGTTTCCGTTTTTGTGGTTTGTCTCCCGCTTTTTCTAATGAAGAAATAGAACATATTTATAACAGGTAGATTTCAGGTGTAGACGCCTGTCAAAATGTTATTTTACTCTCCTTCATATTACATTCTTCCCTAACATTTCCATCTCAACCAATATACTTCTTATTAAATTCATTTAATTCTCCGTATCACTTGAAAGTGTGATTTAAAGTTCGTTTGAAATCTTACCGCTTAAAAATGATGCCTCATTGACCGCTCCAGTCACCACGATGTTCTTCAACCCCTTATAGAATTCCACTTTCCGGAGTACAATATCTTCTTTCATCGCTAAACCAAAGGTGACTCCAAAATCTGTTGTGAAAGTGATTATATCCGAGGATGTAGAAATGCAGTTTGCAAGATTTGAAACGGGTTTTCTATAACTGTAAAGAAATAATACCGTTAATGAAGTAATAAAATAAAATCTACTAACAGATCAATAATTAGAAAATAGTTGAGTACCAATTAAAAAGTTATTAGTTGGAGTGCCTCAAGGTACCATCTTGAGACGAAACAAACTTTTTACATCTAAAATTAATAAAATATATAAAAATATTGCTAACAATAATTGTAGCTTTAGCCTTAGGCTTATTTTTTATAAAATCATAAATATTTAACCTCGAATAAAAATATTTATGGAGTTACTTACACAGAAATGACAGACCCTTCTCTGTCGAAGACCAGATAGCTTTCGACCATTTCGACCTTGTTTTGACAACGAGCCTTTTCATATAAATGTGCTACAACATACAAGCCGGCTGCTTTAGCTGATTTAGAGAGAGATTTAATAGCCTGAAACAAAGCATTTCACATTATATAAATTATTGTACTAATGTTGTTATAAGCGATTTTAAAGTAGTCTCAAAAGTGTAAAATACATTAATCTAGACTTCATCAGGCACAACCTTCAGAAACTGAAGAACGTGACTAAGAAGAAAGAAACCTTTAGAAATTCTGACATGAGGTCAGGAATAATCCTTGTAACAAAATGCCCACACCATGACTAAAGGCCCCGTGGTGTAACTCTTTGTAGTATTAGTCTTTTTAATCAGTTATACCTGGGGTTTCCAGATGTAACGAAACGATTTTTCTGATTTAGGTGAGCTAAATGAAAAATTAGAATTCGGTCTACGAGTTAAGAAAAAAATATGTATTGTATCCAGAAATGTACGTCTAATAATCATGCAACTTATATGAACATTGATAAGATATTACGTAATATTAATTATGCCATATGAACACGACGAAATACTGTTAAAGTATAGTTTTTTTAAAGGACGTTGTAATATTAATAAGAGTTGAATATTTTATACCTATTATTTAAGTATCGCATCAACAGTCTTAATTAGTCCACTGTTGGACATAGGCCTCTTCTTAGAAAGAAGGTATTCCCCTACGCTGTATACGGTTTATGTCAAGTTTTCTTCTCTGTGTAGTTCTGTTGTCCTGCGTAGTTTGCTCCCTTAGTCGACTCTTACGACACCCACGGGATTAATTATAGTGATCCGTCCGTCTGTAATTGCCCGGTTGCCGGCAATAGGGAACTTACCACACCGATATGGGAGTAGTTCTTCGATGATAAGGCATGAGTGTATGTGTGTATGTAATTAAAATAAAACTCACCTCATCATAATTTTCTGCCTTGTCAAGCGACGGTAAAACTAAGATGTCCACATTCTGAAACAAGAAGAATAACATTTAAACATCTTAGGTTTTGGTTTTTCATCGTGGGTTCGATTCCCACCGAGGACAAATATTGTGTGATAAGCATGGTCATTTGTTCTGTGTCTGGGTGTAATTTAACTATAATATGTATCTATTTAAAAATATATAAGTATGTTTATCAGCAGTCTGGTTACCATAGTACAGGCTCTTTATCTGAGTGGCTGAAAACACGAATTAGTTTTCAAATACAACCTTTTTCCCTAAACTAATACTAATTATAAATGTATCAATCGATATCAATCTTCATAAACATACATCAACATCATCATAAACAGGCTATAACAGTCCACTGCTGGACATAGGCCTCTCCTTAGAAAGGAGGTTTTGGCCTACTATACCACACTGGCCAGACGGGTTGGTATAAGTTTTGTGTCAAGTTTTTCTTCTTGCAGTGCTGTTGTCCTGCGTAGTTTGCTCCCTTAGTCAGCTTTTACTACACCCACAGGATGATTATGGGTGGTGACTAGAGGAATCGATCCCGGTCGATTTTTATAAACCCGGAATTTCGGGATTATCTACAGTTAATCTCGGGATCCCGGGATAGTCCCGGGATTGTTTTGGCAATGGAAAGTGGTAACAAAAAGACAGTAAAACATATCAAAATATTTTTTTTGTTTATCATTTAGTTTTGTGAGGACATTTATGTTTTAAATCTCCAAAAAGGCGGTTAAACAAAATTATACTTTCTTCTTATAAAATAAACAAACTAGTGCCTAGTTTGTTTTGTGTTTCGGTAAATAATTTATGAAACTAACAATAAACTTCAAAAAATCAACTTCTTTAGACTTATTTAGATAAACTACAAAAAAAAACTATTTGCTTAAGAGACCAATGTTAATAGATACCTACTCATATTTTTTAATTAAATTGCCCAGAAACTTTATAAATTACACACTTTTACGCATAATCTAGAACCGGTCATTAGCAAAAACAAATGAAATCAGCTGTGTAGACAAGATGGCTTTCAAAACATCAAATCAAGGCAAGGGCGTTTCTTTTTACGTACATTTTTATTGACTTATGTAAAAAATGTATCAATCCCGAATATCCCGGGATTCATTAAATTTGATCCCGAAAATTTCGGGACTAAAATATGACCGGGATCCCGGGATCGAATACTCTAGTGGTGACACTCCGTATTCTTAATCCGTTACCACACGGACATATACATACATAAATATCCTTTATTTAATTTCATTTTTTTAATTTATTACCTTCTCTTATTCACAGTTATAAATAGTTATGCTACAATAACTTTGAACTTTATTTTTATCTACAATACAATAATATTTACACAGTAAAATACTGAGACTAGGTATATCAGATATTTCACTAATGTTTATAATGTTACAAACTTCACAGTTACATAACAATCGTGATAAGAAAACGTTAATTTATAAATATTTTTAAATAATCAAATATTAAATATAGTGATACAAAAATACGGGACTAATCCCTCCCATTCACCATCTACTGTAACTCCAGTACAACAGGATTAACAGCAGTGACCTACGAACGCGCCAAGTTATAACAGTCGGGGAGTCCTAGACAAAATGAAAGTGTCTTGGAACCCGCAACCAAATTAATCAGAAGTAAATTGGAGGAGTTGCAAATATAAAATATTATAAGCAGATATAGTAAAACTAACAAAAATAATTGAAACGTAAAAAGGAGTTCCACCGTTCCATTTCATGGCTTTATTATCAGACCATCGTTATTGACCCCAATTAGTTGAAAGACGAAGCAATATTAATCCAAAGTAGAGAGCTTTACCAGTAGCCAATAAAGAGTTCAGCTTTTCTCTTCCTGGCTCCATGATCATATCAGTTTGAAGATGCCAAAGTATTGTCATCTAAACTTCACATACACACAGAGTTTCATTTTGATCGACGAAGACGAAGTGTTCATTTCCAAGATTTGTTTACAAGTGAAGTTAATAAACACGTCATGTTAAAATTATTCATTTGAAGTAATAATTGACGCCAAAATAAACAACGTATATAGCATTCCATAAAGCGTATATATGTATATAATTTTAGCTGAGCAATACACACGAGGTAAATAACCTATCAGCTGATCGATACGTGATTATAACATGGTACGGTTTATAAGGAACCTGCAAGCTTTGTTATTGTATCGTAACGCGTATAGTTTCATAATGATACTATAAAAAAACATTGTAAGACGTAAGTGCAATTCCAATTAATTTGTTGACATTTTAATTTTGGACGAATTACGTATTACAGATATGCTACGTGGCAAATTTTAGACATTTACAATAATGAAAATTTTATAAGAAACTTTTTTGGCTATTGCATTTAAAAAATCGAATGTGTAATTAAAGGATTTTTGTTGAAATAGAATTTTTTTTCCCTCCATAATGTATAATTTTTTTATTTTCTAAGATCTTTATTATGACAATACGATTTTGATACAAATGCGTTTTGTTCCGTGGGAGAACCATACTCTGGTACTTTGGGCCTAATTCACCGGATTACCACCGGTATATGACGGTCTTACAAAAAACGGGTGCTAATCAATTCAGTGTTTTTGCCATAGAAGTGAAGTTACCGGTGGAACGACTACCTTATTTCTACAAAATTATTCGATGTTTCACTTCTGCCAATAGTCCCGCTACGGCTCAGCTTTTTTTCATTTGAACAGCCAACTATCCCACCTAATTCCTAAAGGGTATTACGGTTTTCCTTCAAAACTTATTTTTCATTCTTAAAAATTTTTTTCTTCAAATTGGAGTAGGATCAAACGGGCAGTAGGAACACCCTTTAAAAAAATATCCAAATCGGTTCTTAAATTACAACGCTCTGAGGTAATAAACATAAAACAAAAATACAGACGAATTGAAAACCTTTGAAGTCGGTTAAAAATAGTCTCTAGTTCTCAACATAACGAATATATGACGATATTATCTAAGCATTATCAATGATTTTATACCTATATTGATATTAATAAAACTATCAACAATTCATTTACAATAGCTGCCGTGAACACGTGGAAATAACTTAGAATTTTGTTTTAAATTTCCCGGTATTTTTTAAACAATTATCACTTGACGTAACTTACCTAACATTTGCAGATTACCGAAACTCTGACGTCAAAGAATATTTAGAAAATGGACATTTATATATGTATAATTGTATATTTTGGCTTTTTTTGTGGTATAAGGGGGTAAACGAGCAAACGGGTCACCTGATGGTGAGCAACTACCGCCGCCCATGGACACTTGCAACTCAAAAGTCACAAGTGCGTTGCTGCCCTTGGAGTGCTTGGGGATTTGGGCTCCGGTAACCCACTCACTCAGTGAAAGGCAACGAAAGAATTGCTTAACCGGTTTCTGTGAGGTCGTGGTATCACTCCGGACGAGCCGGCCCATTCGTGCCGAAGCATGGCTCTCCCACGGTAACTCTGACTTAATTTTAGAATTTTCTGCACATACAATAATTAATATTTTAATTATGACAATAGTATTCGTACTATCTTATTTTGGACAGTCTTTTGTTCTATTATTAGTATTAGTAAGTTACAATTGAAACTAAGTAAAACTAACTAAACTATGTAAACAAATCTTATAAGTAATAACTAGAAATTTTTAACCTACTTCTTGATCTCTCTCTTGTCTCTTATCTTTTCTAATTTTCGTATCTGAATGATATTTTTGGGTGTTGGGGCGAAACGCCTAAAGGCATCTTTTTTCATTAGTCTATTCGCCCCATTAATAGATAGTGGACCGAATCGCCACTCAGTTATCAGTTCTTTTTGTATATATCGATTTTAAAGGGAAATATTTTGTTTTTATTTCGTTAAGTACGGCCCCCCTATACCAAAAAAAACTAACCTTTATTTTTTTTTGGGTTTGCTTAAAGCATGTTTTTTTTAAACTGTAATTTAATGTAGCATATGACTTACCCTTTTTCCAGCTTCATAGACAAAGGGAACGTACTCGTGCGTAGACATTTCTTTATCAAACTGCAACACTCCCGCTCTATACATCTAGAACAAAGAACATGTTGCATTATGGTTTGAAAAACAAAACAATAAAATTACGAACTATTGTCAGTGCAAATATTGTAGCGTAATCGTATTTTCATTGTATGCATTTTGGTTTTGGTGAGAAACAAACGATATTATTATTAATTCACAATGAGTTATGACTGCACGGATGGCAAAGGGGTTTAGGAGGTCGCCACGCGCGCCGCGCCACTTCCTGCTGCGCTCAATGTTGTGGATTCGATCATGGGACACCAGTTTGTATAATCCACAAATTGTTGTTCTGAATCTGGGTGTTCTTTGTGTCCATTCTAAGTGTTTGTAAAGTCCCCCACGAAATCGGATATACGAGTATATTCCTAATGCCTTCCTTTTTTTACCAAGAAGACAAGAAGAATTTATACATAAAACTTTGTTGTATTCGTTGACTCTGGTAAAAATGTTCGCTTATGTTAGGTTTTGAGTACGATTCCCAGGTCGGGTAAAAGATTTTTATACGTCCTGGGTTGGGCCGTTGTAATTCTAAATATATCCCATAAATACTTGTATGCAACTCAGATTATCGAAGAATTCATAGATTAAAGAACTACGAAAACACTATCGAGTCTCTTGCATCAGTTTTAAAAAATCACTCAAGCCCTACATCCAGAAAGCATAAAAAAAAAACAAAACCGATTGTAAATTTAAATATAGAATCATTATTATTACATACACAGTTGTATCATCGGGTCTATGTCCGATTATAGCATGTCACAAAGACAGAGTAATTGACAATCATCTACGTTATATTGATCCTTTTTAAAGGGACGGCGAACGTGACTCTGGTCCATGCACTCATCATTTGGAAATTCGGGACGTGCAGAGATTTAATGCGCTAGAGTGAGACAAAACAACAACAATGCATATTTGACTTGTGTTAGAGAGAGATATGACAATAACATGCATACGCTGCGTGATTTGTACGCTTATGCATGATGTTACTTTGTGTGAATTATTTTTAATTCTGTAATGCTTAATGTTTTTAAATATAGAACTATAGAAGTTTATAGGGAGGAAGCAGTGAACCGGCGAGTAATAGATGAGAATGGGAGAACAAATGGGCAAGGGGTAGGAAGATGATCGTGAAAACCTTATTTTTTAAAAATTTTAGGTTTTTTTTAAAGGTTATAATAATGATAAGTAAGATAATTATTACAATACCTACATTAAAATACATAAAATATGTTGCTTTTTCTACCACGGAAGAACAAATTAAAAAAAACTAGTGATTATAAAGCTGATATATATAAATCCATTGTTTTATACATAATTAACAAATAGTTTTATAGAAGTAATGATGAAATCTTAAATGTGTTACTTTCGTGTAAAACATTCCACAATAAATACATCACATTATTTTAATCACAATAACGTCACGTTAATGAAATGTTTTATTACCCTCGTTCTTAATTACTATAAAAAAAGAACCCAAACAAATATTTATACACTGTGTACACTTTTTTCTTTTTAATCTAGTCTTAACTACGCCCAATATCGTTTTTTTTTATTTAATACTTTTTTTATTGTATAAATCACCACTAGTTAAAAAATACATTTAAAAATATATTTTAAAAATAGAACTCACCTTAGTAGCGTCCAAGAAATTCACGCACCACAAACAAATCACTAACCCAATAAGCTTCATAATTCCAATTTCGAAAATAACACATGCACAGATTCCAAGCAGTTCAATTTGAACTCAACCTCTTTGCAAGGCGAACAGCGCGAGAATACCGCTTCGTAAATATTCCGAGGGATGGAAAATGTTACTGATTGTGGCTTGTACTACGAAATCGCGGAGCAATGATTATTTACCGCTTTTGTTGCTTAGTACGGAGGCAATGAGTGTGAAGAGTGTAAACTAATTTCGCGATAAGCGTTAACCTTTCTGTTTCTAAGGCAATGTTAGGTATTAATTAGGTGAATATATGACTGGCTGCCTGGCATATATGAGAGGAAGTGTATGCGACTGCTGTGCTGAGGTCTGAGGTTCAATTCCCGGGTCGAATTAAAAGTTTGTAGGATCTGCAAATATTTGTTTCGGAGTTTGTGTGTGTTCTATGTATTATATGTATGTATTTACAAAAAAAAAAGGATAAAAGTATTCTATCAGTCAATCTAGCTTTCGCAGTACAAGCTCTGCTTAGTTTGAAACTTGATTGCGTTGTGTGTCAGATGTCCGAAATGTCCGAAATTTATATTTTTTTTTATTAATTATTTACCTTCACAGTTGTCAACTGAGTAGTCTATTAGTTACTTGGTGATAATTCTTAAAATAACTAAGCAGGAAAAATCCTCTCTACCGTAAACTCGCTTCGATTGTAATTTTGACTGCCCGATTTTTGGGTGTAGGAGGGCAGGCGGGTAACCTGATGGTCAGTGATTACCGCGGCCCATGGACACCTGCAACTCAAGAGTCGTTGGCGCCCTTTTAGTCTGCCCCCCCCCCCCCCTCCTCCCTATAAACCTTCCATCCCTAGTAGAGATGGCCCAGAATTTGTTCCCTAAGGTACCAAAGAACTGAACTACCAATGTTGAGGACCAATGAAAGGACAATAATATCCGCTGTTCATATGACGCGTATTTCAGCGGTTTCTACAATTCACAATATTACTTCACCTTCCTTAATTGATTCAGGAGAAATAGTGACTATTTATTGTTTATTTCCTGTTATGCTGTTTCGCACATTTTAAGATGTGCTCATGTTGCGAAATGCTCCTTTTTTGCAATTTGAGCAATTTGCGAAGCGAAGACATTCTGTGATTTATCCTTGTTTAATGTAACGTATAAATTGACATCCAGACTGACTTGGGACTTCAGCAGTGGACTGCAATAAGCTGATTGACTTCCATTTAATAAGACGGAAAAGATTGAACCGTACAGAATGCCTAAGAAATCTCTGATAATTCAAAGAACAAACCCATGACTCAAGGTAAAAGCCAACAGTTCCACTTAAATTCGAGTAAAAATACACTTTATTTCTTTAGAGTGAGAGCTCTATTTTCGTGACCCTAAAAAGTGAGCTTTCTGTACATGTACTATTATTTTCTTTCACTGCTAATGTCACTTGTTTTCGTTCTTCTTTGTTATGAAACTGAGGTTAGCAGATAGATGACAGTTCATTTGAAGGTGCTAATTTATATAGCTCCTTAAATATGTATTCTTGGATTGTAGATGTCAGGAATCATAATCTCTAGGCACTTGGTAAAGATGGAAAATGGGCGTTTTCTAAGTGTAATCGTGTCAAGAAAAGATATGGAGCACATCGACTTTTGTATTCCCTTCATGCTTACGTGGAAGAGCCATGTTTCAGCACAAATAGGCCGGCTCGACCGGAGTGATACCACGGTCGCAAAGAAAACCGGTGTCAACCAAATTTTTTGTTGCATTTCACCAAGTAAGTAAATTACCTGAGACACTACCATCCAAAGGTTATGTCCGACATGAACCGACCGAAAACAGCATGGCCACTCGGGTACTAGTAGCCGGGCACCCAGGTGTACCCTAGGAAGGAAATACCTGGAGTCACGACGGACCCCGACCATCTACGGCCTGTAGATGACAGACCCAAAGGGTGGCAACGCATTTATGATTCTTGAGTTGCACATGTTCATGGGCGGCGGTAGTCGCTTACCATCAGGGGCCCCGACTGCTCGTTTGCTCTCCTATATCCTAAGAAACTCTTAAAAAACCAGACAGTATATCTAACCAAAGTAATTACATAAACAGAACTAGCGTCAGTACTGCTTTGCAGCGCTGTATATATTATTTTATTCCTGTTAATTAACTAACTATTAGCATTTGTGAATTGATTTTAAGGTCTTTGAAGGTTAAACAAGTTCTTGTTCTCGCTACAAAGTATTCAAATCGTAATTCTAATTATTTTTCCTTTGATGCTTCACAACTTTTCGTCGTCAAATTTACAGAAAATTGTTTAGCGTTCATCCAGAAAGAAGTATTTATCAGAAACCATGTTACTCTAGGATTGAACAGGACGGAGCGTAGTCTTATTTTTTAACAACACGGCCGTCACCACCGAGTCAGTCTGCTTGGAATTGAACCTATTAAAATGACACGATGACAACAAACTTACTTCTTATTTTATTACTAAATACCTGTTCTGTATGCCATTGCCAAATAATACTATTTTTCATGTATATAGCTAACTATTTTAAATACATATCCATACGAAATATGCTTTTATTTTGACCCGATCCGTTTAATACCTATACATTTTTATGGGACTAATACATCCAACACGCCCACTACTGGAACTCCTGTACGCCAGGATCAACAGCAGTGACCTACGAACACACCTTTTTGAGTAATGAATCTCGGGAAATCCTAGGAAAAGTCAAACTGTCTTGAAACCCGTAACGAAATTGATCAGAAGTAAGTTTAAAACCTATACATAATTAGAATAAAAACTTATTTTATTCATAGTTTATTGAGGGGTTCGTGGCTAAGTGGTAGGTCAACACATTGCAAAATTAAGCAATCCTAGCCAGGTCAGTCTATGAATGGGTAACCGTTCTAAACACATTGAGACCCTTTCGTGTCTTGGAGAGCCTGTTAAGCCGTCGGTCCCAGTTGCCATGCGAACATCTGTGGCAATTGTTACGGGTAGTTGGAGACCTTTTTTTTTTCCGTGCGGAAATCCCCTCGGATACCACCTATCGGTGGCATGTCGGACTCGAACCGACTAAAACCGCACGCCGTCTCGGGTACTAATAGCCGGGGAACCAGGTATACCCTAGAAGGGAAGTCCCTGGTGCAAGGGGGTAGTTCGAGCCCCTAAAAAGTCCAGCAACAGTGTTTTTACAAAACTTCCATATCGCCTAGTACTTGGGTTGTAAATTTAAAATCGAAGTTTAGCCGTATCTTAGTAGACTTAAAGTCATCCCCAACCTAGTTTGGGAAAAAAGGTTTGGAGGAAGGAAGATGGGACTAATCCCACCCACACGCCCACCACTGTAACTCCTGTACACCAGGATCCACAGCAGTGACCCACGAACACACCGAGTTATTACACTCGGGAAGTCCCAGGAAGAAATTAAACTGACTTGGAACCCGCAACGAAATTAATCAGAAGAAAATTGGATGGGTTGGAAATACAGTAAATCCAGGAGGAAGGATGATGTTTATATTTTATTGAAAGCAGACACCGTTGAGGAAGATATTGATGGATATGAACCCCTGTCGGACTTATAGGAAGTGCGCTACTCCGAAACCGTGCGAGTACAACCGTATCTCTTAGTATACACTGTTTTGTTATGACATCAGCATCAGATCTCGTTTGTTTTTGAATTGGGACCTAAGGGTCATGGTCTCGGAGAGATAATTTTGTTTACGGGAAACTTCTGAATGCGTCTTTGCTCATTTTGAAGTTATTTGTATCCTGGTACCTTCTCCTAAATAAAATATAACCCATTTCATTTTCTATTCTCCATGATAACGTGTATTGTATTGATATTTATTTTTAACCGACTTCAAAAAAAGGAGGAGGTTATCAATTCGACTGTATTTTTTATTTTTGTTACCTCAGAACTTTTGACTAGGGGAACCGATTTTGATGATTCTTTTTTTATTTGTAATTTTTATTTTTTAGGCAACATTTTGTGTCAAATATTTAAATTGAGTGTTTCTTTTTCCAATATTGACAACCAGCAGGAACCCGCGTTTTTTTTCGCGTGAAATTTGAAAAACGCTGCCTTAGTGGTGTCGTACGATACGCGACTGTCGTCTTAAAAGCCATCTTGAAATATTAGATCAATGTCGCATGACGCAAAACGTCACTTTCGCAGAATGTCATTCAAGCGATTTTTTTCTCAGGAGAGTTCTCACCTTAAACTAACACTTCAGAATCGAGTTAGTAATTTAATTAAAATATACATGATGGTATCATAATATATGATCATTTTTTGTATATTTATCGAAATGTGATCAAATAAACACGATGACATTTTGTGAAAGTGACGTTCTGGGTCAAAACCCCTCTCTATACTAGGTAACACAAATAATAATTTTACGTTTGTACATGTCTATCTGTGTGGTGACGGATTAAGAATATGGTATGTCACCACCCCTATTCATCTCGTGGGTGTCGTAAGAGCCGACTAAGGGAGCAAACTACGCAGCACAACATCACTGCAAAGAGAAGGAACACTTAACACAAACTATACCAACCCGTCTGGCCAGCGTGGTATAGTAGGCCAAAACCTCCTTTCTAAGGCCTATGTCCAGCAGCGGTATACTAAAAGCTGTTGATGATGATCCATGCCTATATAAATATTTTGGACGTCTACAATTGGACAAAGCATGTTGAAACCATAAATCTGTAACACCATATTGTACACATGATAATAATAATAATAACTTTTTATTGTAGGTTTACACAAATTACGTTTATTATGATGAGTTTGTGTTACAATTAGAAGTCTAAAATAATATCGTGGTTGAGTGCTGTTTTCCCAGCTAGGCTACATAATAGCCTGTGTTAGGGATAATACAGTCCTGAACCCTCAGAAATGGTGGAAACCGGTCTAGCACGTGTTTTAATTTGAGTTGAGAAATTGTGCAATTTATTGTGGTTTAATGTCTAGTTTATATATGTTGTGTATGGTGATGTGAGTAGTGTATGTGTGT